CCTCCTCGTCTCTCTCTCCTCTCTTCTCTCCTCTTCCTCCTCTCTTCTTCTCTTCTTCTTCTCTCTCTCTCTCTCTCCTCCTCTCTCTCTCCCCCCCCTCCTCCTCTCTCTTCTCTTTTCTTTCTCTCTCTCCTTCTCCTCTTCTCTCCCTCCCCTCTCTCTCTTACCATCTCTTCTTCTCTTTTCTTCTCTCTCTCCCTCTCCCAACTCCCTTTCTCTCTCTATATACATTTTTCCTTTCTTCACACCTTGGTGGTGCTGCTTATCTTTGTCTAAGCTACCCTCTTTTTGAGTTTCTATTATGAGTCTCTCCCCTCTTTTCTCTATGCTCCCTTGTGCTTGCCTGTTGCTTGCAGACTTTTGCTCTCTGCCAGGCAGATGAGCTATCAAAGGATTTCTATCTCCGATGTCTACTTCCCCTCGTCTCTTCTTCTCTTAGTCTCCCCTCTCAAGCGTCTCAAGCGTCAAATTGTCGAATGATGACAAGGTAAGGTATAAGGAGCACAACTTTTCTCTTTCATTCCAGCCTTCATACTCCTCGTTCCTCCTTCTTATGTCATTGTTTCTCCTCTCCTTCGATTTGCTCAATACTTGCAAACCATCTAAGTCTACAACCTGCTGAGGACTCTTATCATGTTGCAGTGGGTCCCTTCGGTCCCCATCCTCTCTGCTCGAACCCGTGTCGCCTGATAAACCGGTCGCACCACCCCTTGGTGGCGTGAAACCCCAGCAATCCAAGCTCCCTTCCCACCTCCTCCGCCCTCCTGCGTATTTCCAGTCTCCACTGCGACTCCCGCTGGTTGGCCTCCACGTACTCGTGCAGCCTGCGCTCGAGTTCCTCGTTGTGCGACCTCGCGCAGCTGCTCTGCGACGCCTCGACCCCCATCCTCTCTATCGACCTCAGCCTCGCCACGCTGTCTGGTCGCAGAATCTTGGAGATGGCAGACTTGCTCTTTCCGAAGCGAGCAGCAAGGACGGACTGCGGGGTGCGATTGAGCTCGAAGTCGCTGACGATTGCGAGCTTCTCGGCGATAGAGAGCTTAGTCTTGCTGCGGCAGGAGATGCTATGCTTTGCTCGGCGGGCGTCACTCCAGCATCCGGAGCTTGACATGGTTGATGATTGCGTAGAGATGTCAGCTGAAGTTTCTGCAGACTGACTGGACCAGACCGACGAGGAGCACGAGCCTTGGAGCCCCACTTCCTCGGATGAAATTGCTGGAAGAGGATTTAAAAAGTGATCCAAGGAATAATCCATGACCGCCTCGTCCTCGGTCCATACTGATACGAACGGCAATGTTTCTATCTCTGCCTTGTTCATCTCATCTTGTCCAGGTCTTTCGTATTGATCCAGCTGTTGGGTTGATGAATACAAATCGAGAGCAATGGAAGCAGCCTCGTTCAATCGCAGGTGATCGCCATGCATCTGAGCGAAGAAGAGGTGATGCTGGGGCGTCGGGGCAGCAGACGGAAAGAGGTGGTTGCAGAGAGAGGGGTGGTGGTGAGGCACATCAACAATTTAACTTTCGTACCCGTCCATTCGAGACTTCTCTTTACATACTCAAGTGGGTGGGGGTACTCTGGGGGGGGGGGGGGAGTACGGTCATGGTTTTTTTTTAGTGAGGGCCGGTTCAAGTAGCACATCAGCGTGACTAAGGCAAGATCCGGCCCGGGGCCCGGGGCCCGCCGGGAGCCTCGCCGAGCAGTGAAAACAGAAGAACCGCAAGACACCGGCGGAGGTTTCAAGGACTCCGATATCTGCCTTTACTCATCTGCCTTTACTCATCTGCCTTTACTCATCTGCCTTTACTCATCTGCCTTTACTCATCTGCCTTTACTCCTCTGCCTTTACTTATTTGAGCTAAACTTGCAGTACTCAAGTGCTGGGGGATCCCAGCAGAAATGGCACGTGCGGCGCAGGCTGTCGCCTCAAGTAGCCAGAAGTGGAAGGAAGGAAGAGCGAGGGCGAGAGAGCGAGGGAGGAGAAGAGCGAGGGAGGAGGAGAGCGAGGGAGGAGGAGAGCGAGGGAGGAGGAGAGCGAGGGAGGAGGAGAGCGAGGGAGGAGGAGAGCGAGGGAGGAGAAGAGCGAGGGAGGAGAAGAGCGAGGGAGGAGGAGAGCGAGGGAGGAGGAGAGCGAGGGAGGAGGAGAGCGAAGGAAAAGGTAGCAGGAAAGAGCGAGAGGGCAATGAAGAAGTACGAGCAAGTATCTGAGAAGAGAGGGATAGCCAGGAGGAAACGGCTAAGAGAGGGATAGCACGGAGGAGGGCAGGAGGGTAAGGGTGATGCATCCAACTACGTGAAACACATGGTACTGATACGGCTTCAAGTTGCAGTGGACATATCCGGGGTCGTTGCGAGCAAACGAGAGCATATCTTTGCACATCGTGCTTGGTCTTGCTGTTTCCATCTACTTCCTCGTTTTCCGTGGAGGATTATATGAAGGTCTGAAAAGATCTCTGTACGTCACAGGAAGGATGGAAAGAGCGAAGCAGGTTGTGCATATTGATCCTTGTCTCTGTTCGTCGCCTCGCCGCACCTCGCATCAACTTATTTCTCCCCTCCCTTCAGCTCCTGTTCGCTTATCTCGTTGTCTCTCCTCGCACCTCTCTTCTGCCATGTACTTTGTCGTTCCCCCCCCTCTCGCTCTCCTCTCCTCCGCCCTGTTTCTTGCACGTCGCAATATTTGTTTTGATACAAATGTCACATCCTCAATTTTATCTTCATACTGATTTCTTTGTATGCTAGCACGTGGTACAACATGGTATAACGACGTATATTGATTCCAAGCTGTGATCATTTGCCACAGGCAAAGATGTCCCAGATGGCAAACAATTCAGAAAATCTGTGTGAATGATTCGAAGTTGATTGTGATTGCTTATCCGGCATGCCAGGAGCTTCCGTCAAAATTTGCTCCAGGGCACAAGACAATGGTGAGAGAAGGAGTGGAGAGCTCAGGGAGGAAGCGAGGAAGGAGGAGGACAGGAGGCGGGGAACCTTGAGGGGAAAGTTGCGGGTCTGATGCCTCTTGTAATACAGGAAGGGTTTGGGAAATCAACACCGGAAGAGATCAAAAGGAAAAAGAAGGAGAAGCAGGTTGTTCCAGGTCGTACCTGTCTATCTTACGCTGCTTCAGGAAAGGAAACATCAGCAAGCGATGAGGGAGGAAAGGAACAGGCTGAAACGTCAGCGCGAGCAGGGACTTGACGCGATCGATGACGGTGAGATCTAGGACGATTGGAGATGAATGGATGGGGAGAGGTTGATGTTGATGTTGACTTCATGAGAAACCTTGGAACATTTGTGTCATTGCTGATTGCACTCTCAGCATCTCGCCCGATAAAGACTCCTCGCAAGGATGGTGATGATGTCAGCTCACAAGCTGCAGAACGACGTGAGGAAGACAAGCATATGCAATGACTTTCCTAACATTGTCGTTGCGGGTTTACAGCAAATAGACGTGAAAAGAAGAACGTGACTTTGCTTTGAATTGTTTTGCCTTGAGTGAGCCTGTGGCAAGGCAAATCTGTCAGAAGAGGATAGGAGAAGAAATGAATTCCGGTTTGCTGACTCCGAAGATTTGTTAGTCTCCATGAAATATTGTTGCAGGAATAAGTTGAATTGTTGTATGAGGAATGCAGACTTCAAGAAAGCGATTGAAGTGACAATATGACTTGTGTCTCATGTGTTGATGACGATGTTCTGACCAGATCGTCAAGGACATGGAAACAGAAAACTTTACACTTGATCAGCAGCAGTAGACAATACAAGTTTCTTACTGATTCTTTGACACTCTTGATACTGTATAGATACGCTCAAATGTTCAACCTGTGCGCTTCTTCTGGAGAGGATGACTGGAAGGTGAGAGATATTGGTGAATTCTATCTACTGAGGGATATTAGTGAATTCTATCTACTGAGAGATATTGGTGAATTCTATCTACTGAATGTTACCTGGTCTTGTTATAATGTTTCCTTGCCCTGTTGTGAGATTTCTTTGTCCTGATTCTCCATGTTTTGGCATTCTGCTTTTCCGCCCATCGTTTTTCTTTCATTGCATGTATTCATTTTTTCTCGATGGGTCTTCAGGAAGGCGAGAAGATGCTTGACAAGTTGAACCGGGAAATGAGAGAAAGCAAACTGACAGAGGTGTGTCTCTGTCTTGTCTTGTCTTGTCTTCCATCACCAGACCTCTAACGACGAAAAGAACTTGGCGTCCGGCATCGTCAAGTTTTGTTCGTGTACAGGTGACAGAGCATGATGTCCTGTTGTGAAGGATATTTATTCCTCCTCCGGTCGCTCCAGGCAAACACAAAGAAGCTCTTGAAACTTGGACGCGAATGGTGGAGGAGCGGGTGAATAGGAAGAGGTCAGCCTAGGGTTGTAGAATTACTTTGGTTGATCTTTTGATGTCGTGGAAGTCAAACATGATGCTGCTGTTGGTCTTGTTGTGATGTTCATGTGCACCTTGACTCTTATTATGATCTCCACTCAATCAGCATCTCAGGCGAACTTACGGGCCGCTATTTGCGCTTCTCAGCGACGGCAGGTGAGCAAGGGAGTGATTATGATAAGGACCAATGCAACAAACAGAGACATGGAAGCGATGTTCGACGTGTACAAGGACTCGCAGACTGAGGTAAGCACAGCGACGGTCTTATGGTGTGAGAGATGAGAGGTGCTGGCAAGGACGTGGACCTCCTCGAAGAGGATTTCTTGAACATTATCAAGGTGATCTTGAAGTATCAAGATGCATACCTCACCTCTCATCGAAGGCTTGTGTAGCAACTAAAAAGACAAAGCGCATCTTTGAAGTAAGGAGAAGATTGACAGACAGAGAAACCTCGTTTCCTCGTCTTGTCTCTCTGTGCTGCTGACTTCGATGTCTAGGTGTTGGAAGCAATGATGGAGCTTATCTACTCCCTCCAACCTGAAACTCTTCAATCTCTCAAGGTTCTCTCTCTGCATCTTGCGATTCTTCACCAACTTGTGCTTGCAGCAAGTTTTTGAATCGATGGACCGAAGGTATGTTTGTTTTCATCTACCTCCCTTGAATGCTCTCCGACCTCTGACTGGCTTCACAGATGTAAATTCACTCACATTAACGACCCGAAGGTGAGGCGTAGATCAGGCTCGATAATAAAAAGATGAAGATGAAGATGAAGATGAAGATGAAGGAATAAGTGACGCTCTTGCTCCAGGGATTTTGTCCTGAATGCAAGAAAAATCTTATTTCTCTGGATCTCACCAAGGTACATGATAACCATCTCATTGGGAAGATTTCAGTGATGACAATTATGGATGATGATGGAGATGATGATGAATATCATGGAAAATGACGAAGAAGATGGCGATTAAGAAGAAGATGATGATGGAGATGATGTTGATTAGGAAGAGGACTTCGGTGATGGTGATGGTGGTGGTGATGATGATGAGCATTGCCCACTCCTTCCTTTTCATTCCCCCCATTGCATTTCCTCTTGCCCTGCCCCCCCCTGCTCTCCTGAGCTTCGAGTATCTCATTCTTCCGCCCCCTACTCGTCTCCCTCACATCCCCTCACCATCTCTCTTTTCTTCCCTCTCCTCTTCTTCCGCTTGTTTTTCCCGACTAGGACATGCTACTCGCCCTCATCAGTTGGTTTCAGGATGAGTTGTCGCAGCTCTGTGACCAAATTAATTCGCTCGCTCGAGTTGGAGATGCTCAGGTGAGCATCTGACAGGAGGAGAGACGAAGAGAAATGAAGTTACCGCTAGTCCGCTGCCTTCGATGCTTTCAAGAGCTGGCTTAACAGATCGGTGAGCTGACATGTACACTACGATGATGGGGATGATAATGATGATTGTGACAAGAATGATAACAATGACGATGGTGGTGGTGGTGGAGAGGATGATGAGGATGTATAATGATTACGATGATACCGATACGATGATGGAGATGATGATAGAAATGTTAAAATTTATCGACCTTGATTTCATTGTTACGTCAGAGTCTCCCGGATGTGATCATCGATGGAGCCAACGTGGGATATTACAGGTGGAGCAACAGGAGAGAGAGGGCAGAGAAGAAACACGACGAGAGATAACGAAAGACATCGAGCATGACTATGGATTACAGCTTGCGACCAGATCAAGGAGAAAAGCTCAGCTACATGCAGGTATTTGATTGGATCGAGGAGGCTGGTGGGGTTGTGTGAACAAACAACCAGGTCGACAAGATCGTTCAATGGTTCAAGGAGAGGAAGATGAAGCCTCTGCTTGTCATGCACTCGGTGATCTCAACCCTCGTCTGTAGAGTCTGAATCTCTTCCACAGCGCCATTTCCACAAAGACGCGCTCAAAGACAAAGTGAGTCGTCGGTACTTGACTGTCGTGCCCTCACTCGCGTCTCAGCCGCAAGAAGCTTCGGTTGTGCAAAGGTGGAGAGATGAGAAGATTCTTTACTCAACCCCTCCCAAGGTTGGTGCAGATGCTGATGGGAGCGAGGATGGAGGAGGCCATGGAGGAGGCAGTAGAGAGTAGATGGGAGACGGACCTTCTTCCTGTTTTAAAGTTGATGGCGTGACAGATGAACGATGATTGGTTCTGGTTGTATGCTGGAGCATGGTGTTCAAAGCAGAAAGGTCAACTGAGATCATTTGTTGATCGCACTGAAAGTTGCTCAGGAAAAGTTTTCATTGTCAGCAACGATCAGATGCGAGATCATCATTTCCAGGCATCTAGTTTGTGATTGTTGTCTGATCTTGTCTTGTCCTTCTCGTTCTGCAGGCTCTCTCTTTCAGTTCTCATCTTTGTCGTGTCTTGTTGTCTTATTCTTGTTCTTCGTTTTTTCGTGTGTTTCACTCGAGAACTTCTGAACAACACGCAGATGTTGTCGTCAAAACGCTTCTTGAAGTGGAGAGAGAGGTTCCTTTTCTCAGGGCACATGCTCTGCCCTCCTTGCGTCTTCTTTTGCGTCCTCACTCACAGTCTGCAGGCATTGGGTCAACTTTCACTTCGACGAACGTCATGGTGAGCAGGAGCGCTGCTCCATCAGACCGACTGACTGGTCGCAGGCGCCTCTGACCCCGTCCTGGCGTTCCCCTCGGACTACTCCTACCGCATGCAGCCGCGGCAAGACGATCAAGTGACGGATCTTCACTGCTGCTGCTCCTGACGCCTGTGATGCAGGCGATGTGGCATTTTCCGTCGGCCACCAAACAGTCAGACTGGCTCTGCTGCGCAATCTGAGCAGGAGGAGGAGGAGAGGAGATATCTATCGCAGCCTCGTGAATGAATTCTGAGCGATCACATCGATCTTGTCGTCAGCCTGTTGTTCCTTCCTCCTCCTCCTCCTCCCCTAGGTTGACAATCCCGTAGGGGTTCCTCCCTGGGAGGAGGTGCAGGCAGCAGTGCTGGAGCAGCAGGACCGACAGGGTCAGGCTGGTACCCCCCAGCACTCCAGCAGCAAGCGCGTAACCCTGAGCTGGAGCTGGCGAAGTCTGCATGTGAGACCAATGGAGACACCAGCAAGCGAAGATGGAGAAGAGGAGGAGGAAGAAGCTCGAGGCATGGCAAGAGCACAAAGGATAGGAGAGCTGGCGCCGAGCCAGACACGCTGCAAGACAGACGAGGGAAGTCAGGATGGAGCACGTGACGCTGGCGGCTATGACGGCAGTGACATCCCAGAGCTCCAAACCTTTAGACATGCTGCAGATGCATGACAACTTCAACCACCTGCGACACCAACGTGACACCAGCATCCTCAATCCTCTCAACGAGCTAAGAGAAGATACTCCTCTCATCTAGCTAAGAGAAGATACTCCTCTCATCTAGCTAAGAGAAGATACTCCTCTCATCTAGCTAAGAGAAGATACTCCTCTCATCTAGCTAAGAGAAGATACTCCTCTCATCTAGCTAAGAGAAGATACTCCTCTCATCTAGCTAAGAGAAGATACTCCTCTCATCTAGCTAAGAGAAGATACTCCTCTCATCTAGCTAAGAGAAGATACTCCTCTCATCTAGCTAAGAGAAGATACTCCTCTCAACTATCTCCCTCACATCGCTTGTCCTCCTCCCTTCCTCTCCCTCTCCTCTCATTCTATTTTCGATCATGGGGATCATGAAATGTTCTTCGCCGTTACTGCCGTTATCTGTGGGGCGAGACAGGAGAGCAAGCAAGCAACGCCTCACATGCAGCAGATAAGTGAGCGATGCAAGACAAGGGTGAGAGAGACACGCGCGAGCTTGTGGCTGATTCATACTTGACGCTTCTTCATTCACATTCATACTTGACGCTTCTTCATTCATACTTGACGCTTCTTCATTCATACTTGACGCTTCTTCATTCACATTCATACTTGACGCTTCTTCATTCATACTTCATGCTTCTTCATTTTGACGCGCATATGAAATCATTGATATCTCATCCCCATCATGTATGCTCCTTGCGCCGGCACCTCGCACATCGAACTTTCCTTCATCTCATCTGCTTGCCTCGCATGCCGGGACCCTGCTGAACAAACAAGCAGGAAACTCAAGAGACATGCGGCCGATAGGGTGAGGGAGAGGAAAGGAAAGCTTCGTCCTAAGCAGGAGTGCATTAAACTACTGACGGACCCAGCAGACTCAACCTCCTCCGCCAGTCTTGCAGACCGCCTGATACCCTGACGTCTCGCTATGTCAGCAGGAACAACGAGGGACGATCGAACACCATGATCATTGAGAAGCGACGAGTTACAAGAACAGCCGCAGTCAAACCCCCCGCACTTGTCGATAACCTGAGGGGATTGAACGACAAGACGCTCAACGCAAGGAGCCAACCTGTTCTCCTTCCAATTGTTTCCTCATCCACTCAGATGTCACATCATACAGACTTTTCTTCGTGCCCCCAATAGTCACCTACGACAAGTTCAGTTGGTGTCGACGATGATTAGTAGCCACTTGTTGCGTCCAGAAAGTCTTTCCCTCAGAGATGCAGTGTCTGCAGCAAGAGCGTCAAGATCAAATCAAGTGAAAGAGGCAGGCCTGATACCCATAACAAGAATAAGCAAAAGATGCAACATGAGAGACGTTCAGGCGCATCATGGCTTGTTGCACTCTTTGACGGAACTTGTTCAACAGGTTAATTGGTACGTGGATTAAACACACGATCGAACCCTCTCAACGTACGCAAGTTGATCAGCATCATATGGTGGTGAAACACCAGTGTTGGAACGTATCTGAAAACTGAGAGCATCAAAGTAAGAAGCAAGTTATCTCGCAAGGTCATCTCTGCCTGTCGTACTGAGATGCTGCCACCAAGAACGGAAGGTCGATGGTCGGAGCTCTGTACTGAAAGATGCGGTGAGAAAAATCTAGTTTATCCTCCTTGTACTTCTCCGAACAAGCACTTGAACTGCTCGCTCTCCTTGGTGTAGATGGAGGCACACCGAGTACCCATTCTGCAAGAAGGTCAAACGAAGAGCCGTGGAACAGCAGGAGCGGGATCTGTCTTAGATGTTCACATCTGCTCCCTCCTCGTCTCACCGGGATTGCGCGTTTGTCATCTTGAAGACAGCAGCAGTCTGAGTTTGAAAGGAAACAGCTCCCGCGTCGAGAGGCTCCATATCCACCCACATCGGCGAATCAAAGAATCCGGCGATCTAGTTGCTCCATGTGAGCCCAGAGAGGCGAGGACATGAACGACATGGCGGAGACGAGTGAAGGAGGCGAGGGGGGGTCAGCAGGGACAAGCAGGGTCGGCTTACCTTGACTCCTTGAGGAATAAACTCAGGGAGGTACTCCAAGTTGAACATCGCTCCTCTACGCTTGACCTTAGCCCTTCTTTCTCCTCTCCTCCCCTCCCTCACCTCCCTCCTGCAGAGCAGCCCCCGAATATCAACGTGTGCCCCTTGCTCAGCCCATGAGCCCGAGAAATCTCCTTGAGAGTTGCTCTGATCAGCTCCTGCCTACACCAAAGCCACGTTAAGCACCCCTCTGCTGCTGCTGCTGCTGCTGCTGCTGCTGCTGCTGCTGCTGCTGCTTCTCCTGATCTCCTGTGCCGTGTGGTAGATTCCCTCTCCATTCACCTCGACCTCCATGTGCTCTTACCCGCGGAAATGCCAGCCATAAGTTGCGTCTGATGCTTGTGCGTCTCCAACATACGCATCTGACGAGCAGTACGGTACATACACCTGCATGAGGAGCAGGAAAACGAGAAATGACGATGACGATTGTAATCAGAAGATGGAGGTCGTTGTGATGTCGATGGTGATGATGGCGGTGGAGATGATGGAGATGATGGAGATGAGGATGAAGGTGAGCGGGAAGAGGAAAAGGATCAGGAGAGTCAGAAAATGATAGCAGCATCTTTTTGCTAAAACCTTGTTGGCTGTTGCAAGGGGTGAAATTGTTGGATCCGCACTTAAGATCTGAAATATTGACATCGTCATCGCAATTTCCATCTATCCTTCTTGTTCATCATCATCATCATCATCATCATCATCATCATCATCATCATCATCATCATCATCATCTCCATCATCTCCATAATCATCATTTTCAGCATCACGCTCGCAGTGTCGATTCTACTGTCAATCTCACCCCATCTACTTCTCTTTCCTCTGGAAATTGTTTGCTGCATCATCATAAGGAGCTCAAACCTCGCGAGTCATCGCAACCTTGACATGAGAGAAGGGCTCGTTGAGTATCTCGAAGCACAGGACGTCTCGTCCCAACACCATCCTCCTCCCATCAGGAACACCAACCACATGTCAGTCCTCGCCATGGCTCCTCCTCGACTGAGACCTCCACGTCATGTAATCTGCACTTCACATGCAGGCAGCATACCTGCTAGCAGGAGCGAAGTAGTACGCCCCCCTGACCCATCGTTGCATCGAGCGAGGGGGTAGACCAACAAGTCCAAGTTGATCCTCTTGAGCGTCTGCGTAGACGCAGCTCTCCTCTCCTCCTGCTCAGCCTCAACTCAACATCCTCCTACTCCCCCTCCCTTGACAAGCACCTCGGGGAGTTTCACTTGCAGGGAAGAGACAACCTGCTCAAAACCCGACGCTCACGACGAGAAATCGCGCAAGGATGATAGGAGGATCAGGGAAATTACCATGCAGTACAGGAGACTAACTCGCCATGCTTGTTGCATCTCGGTAGCAAGGAGGAGGAGGAAAGGGGGCGAGGGCAACGGGTTGAGCACAGACGCGTGCGAGCTGATAGCAGCAAACGCAAGGGGCAGGAATGAGGCAGAGGGTTGACCAAAAGGAATTGAGGGAGAAAAGCTCGGAAACGAGGGAGGCGAAGAGAGAGGCGGGGAGGGAGGGAGGGAGGGTAGAAGTTGAGGGGCGTGCAGTGTGATCGAGGAGAAGGATGGGGATGGGGGGTGAGAGCAAGAGAGGAATGTGAAGCAAGGATCAGGAAACAGAGAGCGAGGGGAAGGCGTGAGGGGGTAAGAGGAAGCAGAAGCAAGAGAAAATGAGGGAAAGAAGCAGGTGGGAGGGGAGGCCTCGGTAGTGTGACTGCAAGGGAAAGGGGAAACACTAGAGGGAAATGAGAGCGAGTTTAAGTTGCGATCGTGAGGTGGTTGGCCATCGGCCTTCATTCAGTTTCTCTTTCCTCTCGTACAAAGGTTGAGGAAGGGTGGACGGCGCGTAAGAAAACATGCTGCAGATGAGAGGTCTGATGTAATTTCTGATGTAATCAACGGCGTCACTGTGAAGCTAGTCTGATGGAGGCTCGCCTTGGTGGCCGTGCTTCCTTCAAGGATGACAGCACATGATGGCGTCCGATCGGTTGTCAGTGCGTTGATACTTCCTGTACCGCCTGTATTGAAGAATGCAATGATAATGAGTATAAAGAGCTTGGAGGTCAACTGATTCAAATCCAAACAAACATAGACCACTCAGAAACTCACCTGTGTGACATTTCAGAAGAGGTTGATGTGACTCGGCGCGGTTGGGAATGCACACCAGCCATGAGAAAGATGAAGATAGGACAAAATAAGGAGATCAAGGAAGAGGGACGGGTCACTGACGCATAGGATGCATTCTGCTAACTTGACTTGGACTGAGTGCAAGTGTGTACGTTCCTCAAAATCCTAGACCAGGCACGATTGAAAGGAGACTATTTACATACACAGAAAGAATATCGTTGTTATCTACATGGCTTGTCCTAGAGACAGCTCGTGTGTGTTGTTTGTGTGTGTTTCCAGCACTCATCCCTTCCTCTGGTCCAGATCGATCGAACACGGCACCATCGCGAGGTCATAGCTCATCATGGCTGGGCTGTAATCGAAGGACACTCGCATCTCTGAATCAGAGATTTCGAGATCTTTCTCGGGAGAGTTCCTTCCGCTGTTCACCTGCGACATCTCTTTGATCTTGTCGTACTGTTGTCTTGCCCTCGCTAGCGACAGGATGTTGCACTGGTCGGTGGGGTATAGAATGATCTCAATGCAGCTGTACGGGCAGTTGAGGCATTTCCGTACACAGACAATAATGTCCTCGGAGCCTACGGGGCGAGGAAGGCAGAGGAAGATCGGATTGCAAGACTTCTCCACTATCTTCGCGGCATCGTAAAGCTTGGCTCCAGCATTGGGCCAATCCAGGGTTCTCAGCATCCTTCCTGTGATCCTTGACGAAGATCTGCTAAGCAAAGCAGTTCCAGGGCCATCGATGCTCGTGACAAAGAAGGGGTCACGCGGCTCTACTACAATTCGGCCCTTTCGGACGGCATGGTCCGATGCGATCTTCTCTATGTATTGTTCCACCCCTAGCTCCAGCATTGTTTGATGTTCGGCGAGTACGCTTGTCATGAGGTCTTGTATGTTTTCGGACGCGATAGCAACTGCCGTCCTCAGGTAGTAGGAAACAAGATGATCTCAATCAGCAATAATCAGTGCTTCTTCAGTGCTTCTGGTTCCTCTTTACGCGTGTGTATGCTTGTGCTCGTGTTGGGTTCTTGGATTCCTGCTGCTTTTCCCCTTCTCTTATCCCTTGGCCCTTTCCGAACCCCCCCCACCCTATCAATCCAAAACTGACCCCATACCTTCTGAGTACCCTAACCATCACAGACAAAATCTCAGATCACCCCTATTTTGTATCATATCATAACCCCATCTCAATACTACCCACCCACAAAGAGTAATCCCCATGATGACCCCACCCATCTAGCGATAATCGGTTTTGCCTAGTTCACCCTCATCCCCCTCCTTCCGTGGGGTCGCTGCTGAGCCTTACATGTGAAAGGACCGAGAGTGTAGGGGTTTAAAGGAAGGGAAAAGAGGGGGTGGTAGGGTCATCGGAGGCGAACAAACCATGATCGATCTTGCTCACGTCATGTATGAGGCGCACCCAGAGGTCGCAATTCAGTACTTAGAAGCTTCTAGACCAGTCGAAATTCTTCTATGATGCTCTGAGATCGATTTTAATATCTATATACTCGAAATGATGCGATGGACGGACGCTAGCTAGCTATATGTGCTTGAAAACATTTCTTTTCGTACTCATAGTTAAAACCGCCATCTGGCAGCTTGTGTCCAGAATCTTCGAACAAGATTTTAACCAAGTTTACTTTACTCTGAAACATTTCTGGTAAAAGCCTGTCAGCGGCCACCCGGCGGCGGGAGGTTCTGAGAGTCGGCACTGCAGCACCGTGACTGCAGAGTCACTCGCCGCAGACTCACTGTTCGGCCCGAAGTTCGGAAGTTCAGCCTCACCGTCTCCTCAGCGGACGCCGCCGGCAGTGCCATGGCCGGGCGGGCGGCCGTTGACATCGAGTACTTAAAACAGTCCTGGAGTCCGTCCGTCTGGCCGCACCGTGGCACTGCGGCACTGCGGCAGTGACTCCGAGTCCCGGAGTCCGATCCGAGCAAACTTTGCTGCATCTACCGTACTGATGTCCCGCCGGAGTACGAGCGGGCCCCCGCGGCGAGGCTGCATCCGAGTGACTGGCGAGTCAGGGCCGGGCGGCCGACGGTACCCGGTGATCGGACGGTACAAGACGGACGGTCCGATCTCACAGGCTGCGGCGCCGCCCGCCGGGCCGGGGCGGGCCACCGTGATTCAATCATCGAGCCCGGATCATGATGGAACTTCGGAATTTAGACTTATTTCAGTTAAAAGTTTCGTCAAGAGAAATGAGTGGGTATAGTCTACATAGAATATGGCAGGGTTGCCAAGACATGAAGGGAGTCCGCCTGCACACCGCCTGTAGCCCGGGCCACTGCCACGGGCACGCGTCGGGCCGGCGATCACAGTAGTCGCAGGCTAAAACCTCACACAGGGACTGCTGCACCGCTTATTGGAATACCAAAATATGTCTTGTGGGCATGCTTGTTGCCTGTCAAATCATTCGAGTGAGCATATGACAGGCCCCGAGGACAGCTTCACCATTCTTTTCCCGGGCGAGTCTTTCACCATCCTGCCGCACAACCTCTCAACCCACATTACAGACAACAAAATCGACCTGTTGGTCCAAATACTCAAGCACCGATCCTCCATGTTTCGAAGATCCATTTGCCTATCAGCGAAAATCATTGATGCTTGAAATTTAGAATCAGGCATATACCATCCCGCGAGCACTGAAGATGCTGTTATCTAGTTGAGTCTCCCCAGGATTCTGTCAATCACGGTCAATACACTTCAATTCAGGGCCAGTGGACAAGCCTGGGCGTGATCGAAAACATTTTCTCCTGCTTCACCCATTGATTGATGGCTCTGTGAACAACATCAAATTGCAATTCAACTGAAAAGCTTCAAAAACCTGCTGATGTTCAGTTCCAGCATGCTTCCACATGGCATAAAACCCCCCATCCGCAAGTTGGGCAACAGATTTATGTACAGCCTGCCCGGAGTCACTTTTATCCTGCAACTGGGGCTGAAACACAAAAATCAAGGAAATGAGCAGCATCAGAGCAACGATGGATTGTCACAGCTTTACACACCATATGTGGCTCCTTGATATTTTTCGAAGATGACTCAGATGTCGAGAAGAGCTTGTCTTCAAGGCTCCTTTCCTGGTCATTGTGAAATCGGTCGGGGGACGTTCTTTTCCTTGTCTTTGGCCCCTTGATGAACAAGTTGAACAATCTGTCCTGATCGACCTGATAAAAATGCTGTATCAGATACACACTTTCTCGATCTGCATCACTGACAGTTTCATCCGCCTCATCATGTCTGAAATAGTTTCCAGATCTCGTCTCTGCAATCTGTGGATTCGAAATCTTCGCCACGTCTGTATCTGCTCGCTGCTCGTCTTCCTCTTGTATGGGAGCAGTCAACCTGATTAGACCTGCAGCACACAAATGCGTCAGTACTGAAAGCATACCGATGGTGGAGGGTGCAAGTATTTGCAGTAGAACAGGTTTAGAGGTTACAAGGTCTCGAGAAAAGTAAATCAATAACAACCTTGTGCAGCAAGCGCTCTTCGTTTCGCCAGAACTTTCAGTTGCGCCTTCCTTACTTGGGCGTCATCCAACAACAAGCGGACCTTCGAGTCGTCTTCCTCGCTCTGCCACTCCCAACAGGCGACGAGCAGAAGCATCCCCATCGTTGCTGCGCAGGAGAATCTGACAGCACTGCGCGGCATGGAGTAGCGATCTAATTCGGGCATGGTGGGGATGGGGGAACCGCACTGGCAGTCCCGGAGCATCCGACCGGACCGGGCCCCAGGACCACTGAGGTCAGTCACTGAGTCGGCCTCGGGCCAACGGTCGGTTCTTCGGTTATTGGCCGTACTACGAGAGGTGACGGGCCGACATGAGACATGGCAATGGCGAGAAAAGTTAGAAATGAAGGATCACAAACGACAGCAAGTAGCTCAGATGTGTTGACGAGACAGATTAGAAATGAAGGATCACAATCGACAGCAAGTAGCTCAGATGTGTTGACGAGACAGATTAGAAATGAAGGATCACAAACGACAGCAAGTAGCTCAGATGTGTTGACGAGACAGATTAGAAATGAAGGATCACAATCGACAGCAAGTAGCTCAGATGTGTTGACGAGACAGATTAGAAATGAAGGATCACAAACGACAGCAAGTCGCTCAGATGTGTTGACGAGACAGATTAGAAATGAAGGATCACAAACGACAGCAAGTCGCTCAGATGTGTTGACGAGACAGATTAGAAATGAAGGATCACAATCGACAGCAAGTCGCTCAGATGTGTTGACGAGACAGATTAGAAATGAAGGATCACAATCGACAGCAAGTCGCTCAGATGTGTTGACGAGACAGATTAGAAATGAAGGATCACAATCGACAGCAAGTCGCTCAGATGTGTTGACGAGACAGATTAGAAATGAAGGATCACAAACGACAGCAAGTCGCTCAGATGTGTTGACGAGACAGATTAGAAATGAAGGATCACAAACGACAGCAAGTCGCTCAGATGTGTGTGTGTGAATCGATTGTTGATTGACACCACACATCTGTGTCAAGGTGATTTAGGGTTTACCGATGGCGCCTAAAAAAGTTTCGAAACGACATTCGACGGAAGTGAAACCAGGTGACATGTTGTTGTTGTCACATCATGATCGTGACTCAGAGCTCTTAGAAAGTCTCGAGAAACTGCGAAAGGGGACAGACAATGGCGACGGAGGATCTACATGGTATGCCATCCGCAGCTTGAGACGAACATGCTGCTGAACAAGAATGGACAGGGTTGAGCCAACAACGGTGATCGTAAAACCTCCAGATCAGTTAAACTTGACGGAGAAAGAGCTCGAGCAAGAGTTCACAAGAGTTTTGAGTGCGAAGGTGGACATGCGAGAGCATAGAAGCGTTCACTCTGACCTCCGTGTAGGATCCGGTAGCACCTCAGAACATCGTCAGGTTTAGTTTCAAAGAGCGCCTGTACAAGCTCGACCCGTCAGTGGAGCAATGCGCCCAGCACTTTGAGATGGAAGGAAACCTGTTGCACAGAGAGTCAGAGGACGGCAAACGCATCGTGGCAGAAGTAGAGGCAAGGAAGATTGCTGAGCAGAGGGCTGTAGAGATGGCTCAGATGGGAGCGCCGGAAACCAGCACGGAGTTTTCAGGGGGCGAGTCAAAGAAGCTGAGAAATCAGTTCAACTACTCGGAACGAGCCTGCCAAACCTTCAACCAGCCCCTGCGCGAACGAGCCACCATCACTGAACCTCCTCCGAGCCTGACCATCAATTGCCAGGTCAACCAGTGGGAAATCTTTGACGCTTACGTGGAAGACGTCGAACGTCAGAAGCTGCTCAAGGAGCGCGCGGCAAGCCAGCAGCAAGCAAAGAAATCAGTAGCGAACAAAGACGATGCTGAGCATGATCATGACGACGGCGACATGAAGGAGGGCGCGAAAGATGCGGACATTGTGCATAGTGCTGCGATGAGCCGATCTCTCAAGATCATGGAGAGAATGGTGAATCAGAACACATGGGATGAAATCGCTCAGGACTACAAGTACTGGGACGACCAGTCAGATTCCTTCAAGGAGGGAGAGGGAACTTTGCTTCCCCTCTGGAAGTTTTGGACGGAGAAAGTGAGGAGAAAGCATGTAACGGCGCTCTGTTGGAACCCGGAGTACAACGATCTGTTTGCGGTGGGCTACGGCAGCTATGACTTCATGAAGCAAGGGTCGGGAGTCATCTGCTGCTTCTCGCTGAAAAACCCTTCTCACCCGGAGTACTCTTTCACCACTGAGACCGGAGTGATGTGCCTTGACTTCCACCCGCAGCACTCCTCCCTCCTGGCTGTGGGATGTTATGACGGCACGGTCATGATCTTTGACATCAGAAACAAGCTCAACAAGCCCATCTTCTACTCAACGGTCAAGAACGGCAAGCACACAGACCCGGTGTGGCAAGTTAGCTGGCAGGAAGAAGATCTCGCCAAGAATCTCAACTTCTTCTCCATCTCGTCTGACGGCAGAGTCACCTTGTGGACGATGAGCAAGAGCGAGTTGCAGTACACCGACGTCATGGAGCTCAAGCTAGTCGGCATCACCCACGGGCCGGACGACAACAGTGAGGAAACTTCGCTGGTTGGCCTTGCTGGAGGAAGCTGCTTCGACTTTCACGGGTCAAGCGAGCACTTGTTTGTTGTTGGAACAGAGGAAGGGAAGATACACAAGTGCTCCAAGGCCTACAACAGTCAATATCTCGAGACGTACAACGGTCACTACATGTCTATCTATGCGGTCAGATGGAACAAGTTTCATCCTCGCATTTTCCTCACGGCGAGTGCTGATTGGACAGTCAAGATCTGGGATCACACGCAGAAACAGCCCTTGATGTCCTTCGACCTTGGCAACGCTGTGGGCGATGCAGCTTGGTCCCCCTACTCATCTTCTGTCTTTGCGGCTGTCACCAATGACGGGAAGGTGCACGTGTTTGACCTCGCAGAGAACAAGCACGAGCCCATGTGCGATCAGAAGGTGGTCCGAAAGAGCAAGCTCACGCATGTTGTCTTCAACCCCAAGCAGCCGCTGCTACTTGTCGGCGATGATAGAGGAGGAGTCCTTTGCTTGAAACTCTCTCCTAATCTGCGCAAGACCGAGGAGGTGAGGTCCAAGGAGAAGGCGGCTGCTTCTTCTGGCTCAGCAGGCGCTGACGCTGCTCGGAAACCTCCCGCGAAGAAGAGAGCTCATGAGGGAGAGCAGGGAGGAGCCGAGGAGAAAGTGAAGTCAGCGGCAGACATGGAGATTGAAAGGCTCGAGAAGATTCTCGGCCTCGATGAAAACTCTGCGCGTTGAGGGCTTTCATTGCTTCTAGCACCAGCCGTACATGTCGTAATATACATAAAAACCAGGAACGTCTCCCACGTCGAGCTTGAACTCCGATGACGCTCTGAGCAACCCATCAGAGCGAGCAGGCGACATGACTCTGACTTGCCTGTCTGTGTTCACGTGGTTGTCCCACCCGGACCCCTTCCTGCTGGGCTCGTCAAGGCGAACGAGCGAGGAGGCTCAGCCGCTACCTTGCGCCGAAATCGGTCATGGTCATGACGTAATCGAACGCCAGCTGGCTCGAAGCCTCGATGTCTGCTTTCTCGAGCAGCCATAGCAAGCTGTAGTCCAACCGAAGGTTCCCTTGCGTCTGCCGCATCCTCGTCAACGTCTCGGTCAGGAAGGAACCAGCGGCTGCCTGCAGCACGTCCTTGACGCGCGACCATTTGTCCTTGTCCCGCACCAGCTCCATGACCTGCCGGGCAGTAGTGAGGACGTCAAGACAGCAGAGCTCAGCTGGTCACCTGCTGCTTGTCCATGAGCGTGAGGGTCTGAACGATGTCGCGAGCCATCGAGTTGCACCAGCGACGGGCCTGCGAGGGGTTGAGGAGAAACATTGAAGTCTGCGAGGGAGAGACCTGCTGCTCCTTGCTCTCAAACGCCTCCAACTTGAGCTTGTTGACCCGAAACTGCAACGAGCGAATGAGCGCAAGGAGAGGGGAGAGGAAGGAGACATCGCGTCGAGCTTCGTTGATGGCCTGAGGTCATACAAACTTGAGAAAGCTGATGAGAAGATCTCGTTCACATCACCTCGTTCCATCGATGCTCTCGAACTTGTTTCAGTGACACCTGGCGACATCAAACTCCCTCAGACCTCTGCATCTCCCCCTGGTCCCATGCGCCTCTCCCCCTCATCTCACCTCGCCTCGCAGGGCCCCAACTTCCTTGGCAACTTTTCTGTTGAAGACCTGCAAAGACATCTCAGACAAGGAGGAGAAGAGGAGGGGAGGACGCAAAGGTGAGGGAGGAGGGGGAGAACAAGGTCTGACACCTTTTTAGACTCCAGTGCCATTTCTCTCTTCCACACCATTTGTCTGTAAACGTGACGTCACTCAACCCTCTCCTCTTCTCCCTCCTCTTCTCCCTCACTTGCGATTTTTGAGCAACTCAGTGAGACGCTCTTGCTCCAACTGAGTACCGGAGGCGATGATGCGAGCAGCGGCAGGCTGAGCAAGCGATCAGCTGAGAAGAGCTGAGAAGCAAGCGAGCCTGTAGCCTTGACTTCATGCCGTGCAAGGACTTGGTGGCTGCGTCGGATTGTGTGAGGAGGCAGCACGATGAGCGAGAGAGGAGGGAGGGTTTGACGTCACCGTGTTGAAGGAGAAGGATCTCGAGAGGAGGCTTCCGTTGCCATAGCCCGAGCTCAGCTGAGCCTCCTGCTGTCTGATATCTGCAGTAGCGATGAGCCAGAGCGAGGGCAAGACAGTCCGGCGACCTCGACGCCAACATCATCATCTGATCGTCTAAGTCCGAGAAGATGGTCGGCCGCAAGCTCTCCGCCTTGGGAAAGACTGCGAGGCATCAGACGAGGAGGGAGGAGGAGCGTGAGACCAGTCGGCGCTGTGAGGGCCAGGGGGGCACGAAATGGGGAGGACTCCTGCCAGCAAGTCAGAGGCGGCGGAGCTCTGCGGAGTCACCGGCCTGGTAATAATCTTCATAGGAGGGCGACGAGCTTTGATCCTCTTCGCGTCGCGGCTGCTTCACCTGCACCTTCCGGTTCTCCTCCTGCAGCTCTCGAACGTACTGAGCGAACTTGAGAGGCGAAGGCCCCAAGAGCTGCGACCCAGCTGGCCTCCAGCCCAGACTCCCAAGCATCTGGTTTCCTAGCTTACCCACGAATGCGCCGATCACACTTGAGGAGCTGGGGGGCAGCAGGACTGAGGCAGGGAAGGAGGAAGAGAGATCAGCGGCAGTGCCGTTGCGTCTTGTTGTCTTGCGCTCCAGAGAAGGAAGTTGAAGCTGAGCATCGGCAAGGCTGACCTGTAGACCGAGAGGTGAGCAGCAGCTTCCTCTTCACCCTCCTGATCAAACCGTCTCATCCTCCTTATGCTCCTTATCCTCTGAAAATAATTCTCCTCTCTGCCACCTCGGACTTCGGTCAGCAACTTTGGGTCTCTCGACTGCTGTGCTTTGTTTCTTCCCCTTTTCCTGAGATGATCGTCCCAGAGAAAGCTCTCGCGAGCCCTCGAGCCTGCGACTCAAGTCTGTCCACGAGGTCTGCGAGCCATGCGGCGAGAGAGGAAGCGTGGAGTGAACGCTGTGCGTGCCGTTCTCATCCGTGTCGATGACAAAGATCGCAGAGAGATTCCACTGAGAGCATCAGAGTCAGTCGCTTCCATCCCTCCCGCCTCCTTCTCCCACCTCGATCGGTTGCCAATGCTCGGCGATCTTCGTCCTTTCCTCCTCCGCCTGGAAGGAGCTCTCAACGGCTGCCCCTCTCATATGTTCCTACCTCTTCCAAGGACTTCCACTGGCCCAAACACACGTGGGGGGTGAAATCAACGTCGTCATAAACGTCATCGTCGTCTTCAGACTCTTCCATAGTAAGTGAAGGTTTGAGGTCCGTCATCCTCGAGCTGCCGCTCGCATTCTTGAATTTTAATAGCATCGCCTCCTTTCTCTCGCGCGGGATGAACCCGTCCAACGTGCTCTGCGTCGTGGGTCAAAAAGAAGGAGCGAAACGTTTTGGGGTGCTGGTGAAGGAGGGGGAGGGGGAGGAGTGGAGGTTAAACACCTTGAGACAAGACTGCAACGCCACAAGCTTCTCCTTGGCCTCCTTGCTCGGCCCCACCCACAGCATGACACTGAGAGGATGACGGAAGACGCCGATGGTGCTGAGGCTCACGCAGAAGCTTCCCCCGCCCTGCCGTGTGACTGACTGAAGACGCTGCGGCAAGGCGTCGAGCTCCTCCTGGAAGAGGATGAGATCAAGACAAGAGGAGGAAGAGAACCTGAGTGAGCAGGAGAGGATACAGCAGGTTGAGATGCGGCATCCACCTGCCTCAAGAGTCAACAAGCGGCTCGTGCTGCTGTCACCTCCTCCATTTCTCCTTCTCCTTCTCACCGCAGGTGATGCCTGTCGTGCTTCGACCTGATGGTCTGGATCTGCTCCCAACTGGAGTGAGGAGGGATGATGCAAATCCCGACCTGCACTTCTCTCTCACACGCGCACGCATCCAACGCTTGCTCGACCTTTCTCATCCCTGCTCTGACCTCTTCTATTGTTGGCTGCCTTTTTTCCCATCGACCGAAGGTGCGAGGGCCATGCGAGGATGGGTCGACAACGCGGCTGAGGCTCTCCTCGAAGAACTCTCCCTCCTCCACTTCTTCCTTGGCGTTGTCCAGCACCGGCACCCCCATCGTGAGCTCCCAGAGCGAGTGAACTTCCAGGGATGGTTCAGCCTCCATGGACCAATGGCGAGCTTCAGCCGCATCAGTCCCATTGTTGGAGGGACGCACGCTCAGGCGGCTGTCAGGATCTCGACTTGACCGCCGGCCTTGTCGCACATGCAGCTCCGAGTTCTTGCTCACATCCCCTGCAGGCGCCAAATCAGCTCGCCACTTTCCTTCTCATCGTCCTCTTCCTGGTCTTCATCCGTCCCCTCTCAGGTTACCTTGCCCGTTCGCCGCTCTCACGCGGACATCGCAGTGGCTTCTTGATCGCCAGTGCAGTGGAGCTGCAGGTGGTGAGAGAAGATGCGAGGAAAGAGGTGAAACCTTTAGTGGAGGGATGCAACGCAGAAAGCGTCAAAGGCTCGCAATGGAGTTGGGAAACCTGCAGGGCAAGTTACGAGGATGAGCTGGAGGAGGTGAGATTACTCGAGGCAGACACGTCCAGCCCGCTGAGTCGTAAGGAAATGCCAGGAAAACCAAGAGAAAGGCTAAAAGGACACGAACTTGAGCAACCAGGAGGGAGGAGAGTGAGGAGAAGGGAGGGCAAGGAGGAAAGAGGAGATGAGGAAAAGAAGGGGGAGGGGAGATAAGGTGAGGGGAGACGAGTTGAGTTGAGGAGAGGGAGAGGAATAGGGAAAGGGAGAGGGGGAGGGGGAGGGAGAGGGGGAGGAAGAGGAAGAGGAAGAGGAAGAGGAAGAGGAAGAGGAAGAGGAAGAGGAAGAGGAAGAGGAAGAGGAAGAGGAAGAGGAAGAGGAAGAGGAGGGAGGAGGGAGGAGGGAGGAAGAGGAGGGAGGATAGCAAATCTACCTCTTGTCTCTATCAGCATGACCTCGAGCTTCAGCCCCTTGTCGTTCCCTCCATTTCTTCCAGCATCGACCACACTACTGTAGGTTAGCCCGCCTCAGGGACGCTACGTTAGTTAGGGTCATGAGCCTCCGGGCCCGGCCGGCCTCGACGCTCCGGGTCATGGACGCAAATCTATGGTGAGAGGAAGGAGGGACAAGAGACGGCTGGCGGAGGGAGGGAGAGGAGAGGATGCGATGAAGACAGACCCTGTGAGGCATGTACTGCTCTCTCACAATCATCACCATCATCCTCAAGGTCTGCCATCAAGACCGACCAATCAAACATGCTGCTGCGTGCGACCGTGGGCTGGGAGGAGCGGCAAAATGAAATACCAAGGGGATACAAGCAAGTAGATTCAAGGCTGTGTGAAGATGCGAATGACCAGGAGGGAGGTTGGCTTGTACATATGTAAGTTTGCAATGTCACTGAACTTCCTCCATCTTTCATGCCTGGTCAAAATCCTCTTTTCTTCTGAATTTCCATCACCCAAGTCGATGATGATGATTGTTCTACTTTCTCTCGATCAATGCGGGGGAGCGTCGTCTCTCTGCAGCCTTGAGCTCGTGAAGAAAACCTCTTGTGCAGGGGTCTGAGACTTGTATCGTGAAATATCCTCCCCCTACCTTGCCTGCCACGGTACCTGCTGAGTCTTATGACAGGAGTCCGAAGTTTCATCTCGACTCGCGCGAGAACAAGAGGAGAGGCTATAGGGAAGACTGGGTGTGAGATGACCACGCAGAGGAGATAAAGAACTTTGAACAAAATTACATTCGAAAGTGACCGAAATCACCACGGCCAACATACTGGCAGCCAAGTCTACAGGAAAAAACACTAGGATTCTAGAAATAACAAATTACAGGCGAGGTGTTAGGGGGAGACCTGTTCGCTATTCGTCCTCCATCAAGAAAGAAAGATCAGATCCCTTATCTGGGCAAACCAGATGATCTATCATCTTCCGCCGAGAGCTCTCACCGTCCTGCACACCATTGAATACGAAGAAGATGAAGTTGCGCCTCCCCGTCCAGCTCACCGTGCTGTCGTTACCCTTGAGGTACTCCTCGAGACAGAAAGCTGCTCGCCACCAGACATCCCATGTAAGCTCCTCCTGGGGAACGCAGAGCTGTGCCCAACATTTCCCGTGAGACCTCAACCAGCAAACCGCAACTTGGACCTCACCTGGCAGTCATGCATATGAGCTCGCAACAGCTCCAGGTCCACTTTCAGCTTCAGTGTTATGTCCATGTTCTCTGTCCCTCTGTTGCCGAAAGCAAAACTCTCTACAAGGTGGATGTCCTGCATGCGACGGATCGCTCGCTCGAGGCCAAAGACTGAGGCTTCTGAGCATAACACTTCTAAGGGGATTGAAAGTTCGACCTCTTGGAAGAAAACAAATCTCCAAGGGTCCGTTTCCTCTTCACCGCACACTTCTTCACCTTTTCTGCTAGCGTCTCGGTGATTGCTGATAGTTGATGCCGTTGCCAAATTGTTGTTCTCCTTGGTATCGTTGATATTGAGCTGATTCCACTTGTCTTCAAGCTGTTGAGATTCCTTGAGGGTCTCCGAATTGCTCGCTTGACCCATCGAGCAATGACCACCTTTGCCTTCGCGATAACAAGTGATGAGAGGATTCAGGCGATCTTCTTGATTCTGAATTTGTTCCATCGTGACGACGATTAGATAGAAACTACCCTCAATGCACTGAGCATTGGCTGGGTACACGTACCATCTGTTGTGTATGGCAACTCCAGTCTTTGTATATCCAATCATCTCCAAAGTGATTGTTTGAAGTCTGTTTGTAGACAATTGGCTTATGATATCTTCCATTGTATCTATAACTTGCTTGCTGCCCCCCTGTCAAAATATGGTGAAAAGAAGGGGAGAGCAGCTTCAAAGCCAAGAACAACCTGCAGTATAGCTAACGAAGACCCGATAGCTTCATGCGCCTCTATACCCCACATTTCAATCCATGCTTGATTCACTTGCATGATTGAAAACGGATTCCGGCTGGAAACTATCAACTGCGGTCGTTCAAACTCCTGGAGTGCCAAACAATCAAGGAATTCAATCAGTCAACCGTACAGCCCCAGTGTCGCAAGTTACCTCAAACGGATCAGTAATCATCTTCATGGATCCTTTAGCTCGTGTAATTTCTGTCACCTCAAACTATTTGTGCAGTGTCTAGATCGCATTTTGAAGTTTATTTGTTGGTCAACTGCCAATAGTATGAGAGAACAGATTGGTCTCGAAACACGAACATGATCGGATTAGGGCAACAGGTTAGTGAGGCAGGAAAAGTATGTGGAGCCGTTTAGGTCTATTCCGATCATGATTATACATGCTGACTTTGAATATTTCAAGAATCGGGAATACAAACAACTATCCAACACCACCTTCCTGCGTTGTTCGCTAGTCCTTGCGTTGAGTTCACATTGTTTTCTTCACCTCGTCAAGCCATCCCTCTCTCTGTGCCACTGTTTCCTCTACTGTAATCTTTCTCGCAAACAATCTATGTTTTTTCATCGCGCTTCTCCTGACTAACGTTCTCCATGGTACATCCCCGTTCAATCTGCATTTCTTTCGCCTCGCCCGCCGTGGGGATCGCAAGGAAAATACACACATGGGGTAGGGGTAGTCTGTTCTTAATCTCATCTCAGGTGGGTGGTTGATTTTAGTACCAAGACGGCATACGAATTATGGAAGAATGACGGGTACTCGTTAAAACAACTGAGGGAACGACAGGGTGGGGTAGGGGTAATGTTTGTAACCCATTCTTCTAGGTCCTTTCCGCATTTTCGCCCTTGGTGGTAAAGAAGTACCCCATTCCATCACCCCCCTAAAAACCTGCATTTCGAACGCTACTGCATGAGGGGTGTTGACACCACACCCTCCCCTATACCTCTGCTCGCCCAATGACATGGGTCACTACTCAAGCCCCCGGAACCCCCACCCCATATCCATCCGCAGTGCACCAGTATGGTGACCTGTCATCTCCCTCAGATCTCAGTTACATTTGTTTTTACTTTGAGAAAAGAATTTTTAAGAAGGGAAAAGACATTCTTTCGAACTGATCTCCACTGAGATAACCAAGTCTTGCGACTCCAGGATGCGACCACCCCACCCCTACCCCTCTCTACCTCCAAGGAGTTCTAAAGGAAGTTGGGAGGGGTCGGGTGGGGTTGCTGGTGTGACCCTGCCCCATTGGACATATCTGAGCATTGCGATGACGCTCAAAGGTTCGAGGCGGAGCAAGGGAAAGGGAAAGAGATGGAAACGCGGGGGTAGAAAAAGAGAAAGGATGCAACCAAGACAGTGGGCATAGGAGGAGGCTCTGCAAGCAGCTACGAAACGATACAGAACTTGTTTTATGGAGGACAAGGAGAGACGCCAGAAGAACTTTCAGGAAGCAGTTAGGAATGGAACTTTCATTCAGGGCATGGCATGGCATGGCATGGCATGGCACTTGAAGCAAGACAGAAATGGCAAATAACCACGAGCAGTGTGGTATATGGGAATTTAAATGTTGTTTGCAATAATAGACAGTCTGACAACAGTGTAATTGCACATTGCATACGAATTAAAAGGGTAACCAATAGAACTGCAAAGAGGAATAGAACTGGGCCATTCCAGTTGGCACGCTGTTCTATTCCTCTTTGACTGTGTTCACGGTCTTGCCACCCTGTAGTTCCCTCCAGGTGGAAAAGCTTTACGGGTTGCAGACGTCGACAGCGAATACTCAAGGCACCTCCGTTTATTTGATAACTCCAACGCACTATCCGGGTTGGTGGCACACACAGCAAGGGGAAGGACAGACAGACCACCTTAGCAGTTGTCGATGATCCTTTTATAGTCGATAGGAACTACTAGGGGTGGTGAGGCCGCTCCGCTCATGCACGAGCGCCGAGCGAGCGTCGGACCTCCTCACTATGCATCCCTCGTACATGACCGGTACGCTACTGTCAGTGACGTACAGTACTTCGCCATTCCGAACTCGTCACGCCGGGCCTTGAGGGACTCAAGCATGTCGAAGAAATGCTCCTGTCTAAACGAACTGCTTCAGCAACTCATCAAGCATCTCCAAAATCTCCTTCAGGCGATCGGAAGCTTCGTATGAAATTTATTGGACCTTTGCGGATACTGAAAAAGCAGTCTGACAGTGCAGTACATTTGTCAGGCTTTTCTTCCGAGCTTTCGGCATCGCAAGGATGCAGTGTACAATGTTTCAAAGCTGCGTCCTTACTACTTTCGTGATCCTACCTTGGATGATCGCTCCCAGCCTCCTGCTCCCATCGTCACGGCAGATGGTGACTTCTACGAAGTGAAAAAGATTTTGCGTCGTCGTGGCTCAGGCAATCGTACAGAATATCTTGTTCGCTGGGAGAGCTTTGATGATCCTACTCAAGATTCTTGGATCCCATCTTCTGAGTTACGAGCGCCTGCTTTGCGCAAGATGGTGTGCGACTTTAACGACGCTCTGCATCGACATTGATCTTTGTGTAAGCGCTTGCTTGCTTTCTCTTAACTTTAACAGTGAAGTACTTGTTGCTTCAAGCTCAACAATCTTGCGAGTGGGTGCGAAATGTTACGAAGCGGTTGCGGAGATGTTCTGCTGTTGTTCTTCTGGTAGCTTTCAAACTCTCACGGCAAGATTTCAAACTCCTTCCCCGCGACTATATCGTACAAGGTCAGAACGAGGACGGTCAATTGTTCTAGAGAGGGTGAGGCAGAGGCAGTGGTGTGGGAGTGTGCTAGTAAAACTCGTTCTCTACTTCTCTTTTTCCGTTCAAACTCAGTGACTCAGTGAAGTTCCGGCGTCCGGGCCAAAACTTCTAAGTTCCGAAGTTCGCCGAGGCCCGCACTGTCACCAACTTCGAGTCGGATCACGAGTCGGCGACCCGGTCCGTTGTCAGACTGAAACTGACTCCCGCCTGCCGGCGGCGCAATACACACTGAGTTTTCATAGAACAAGCGCGCCGCGCCTGCAGAGTCAAAATTCTTCTTGCAATCAGATTAAACTACCAAACTGCTCAGCCTGAGTGATTCGCCGATGATTTGTGTAAACCTGACTGTGACTCAGTGACCGTACATCCGATGATCACGGTTGTCCCGGACCTGACTCAGTGACATCAAGTCCACTTTATCCTTGTCGCCGGACGCCGAACTTGCGAGCCGCTGGGCCCTGGCCAATTGAGCGTCCGGGAACGAGTCACTCAGTGACGTCAGGTGCCGCAGTCACGGTGCTGAGTCCGATCCGATCACCGTCCGGTGGCGGGCCCGGGGCCTTCCTCACCGCCGAGACTAAAATAAATAGTTTTATAAATACAAATTTATAAAGGCTATTTCTACCATTGGGTGATGACAAAACGACTTGGTACTGTTGTATTGTACCGGAGCCCCCTTTCGTAGGAGGATACCCCCTTTTCTTGTGCCACCCCTGCTACAATGTCTCATTGGTAGCTGTACCACGTGGTTTTACTGAAAAGTTTCCCCACCCCTCCTTCTATTCTACCCACCCATCGGTCGAGATCATTTCAGCTACCCCACCCTTGAAGACGAAGAATTATAATTGTTTTTATTTAATAGTTTTATTAAATGCAAGCTCCCCAGGAGATGGTTGGGATACATTTGGGGGGTACGGGGTGGGGCAGAAATGGGGTACCCATGATGGGTGGTGGTACTCTGAAGAATCCGCCTGGGGGGTTAAGACAGCTAAATGGTGGGGTATTCTGTTGTGAAATTGGGAGGTAGGGTTCGTCAACGGTATGACGAGATGCGGGCGAAGACAAGGTGGGTGCTAAGTTTTGTTGTAGGGTAGGGTACTGTTTTCTTGGAATATTGGGGTAGGGTGGTAATTCCCTGGGTTAGCTGCGACGTGGGTGGTCCAAACGAAATGAAATTCTTGAGGGGTGGGGTATCTTCACTACCGGTACTTTCTAGCATGACTGGGACTGTGCTGCACCCCAAATCAAGCGGGTGGTGGGATAATTGAGGAGTGGTGGAGAGACAAGGGTGGGTAGGTGTTCGACAATGCTGCAATATCCAGCGGCAAGGACAGGATGCAGATGGATGATTACAAAGAGCACGAAAGAGGGTGAAAAGGAAGATCAGAAATAGAAAATGAAAATGATGATGTTGAACATGTTGTTGATGTCATTCAAGTTGATCAGTTGCAGGTGCAGGTGAAGTTACGGCATTAGCGATGGTCATGATGGTGGTTGCGGAGGATGTGGTGGTAGTGGCGACGGAGATCGTGAGAATGAATCAGGAAGAAGAAAAGAAATTGGAGAGAAAGGTCGTGATGAGGAGGATTCAGGAAGGGAATATGAGACTGAAATATGCAATAAGAAGGGAACTATCACGTGGAAATTACGTTGAGAAAAGAACGACGAGAAAATCTTTTAGTAGGAACAAACAAGGAAATTGATGAAGTCAGACAAATCAATTGAAGAAAGCAGGTGGAGTGGGGAAGGTGACGGCGAGGAAAGAAGTAGAAGAATTGCAAGAAAGAATAATTGGGGTGAAGGTATGCAAAAGGAGATTCACAAGTGTCATGTGCTCCTAGTGGAATAGTCCCAGGAGGCTGTCACCCCCTCAAAAGCTGCAGCTCCGTTCTTTTTCTTGTGCGACAGATGAAATGGAGGGACAGCGTGAATGTGTAGTTGTTGGAAGGCACGGGTGTGAGGAGATGCCCGAGTGAGGCTCATCAGCAGCTGCGAGATTGATCCACTGGATTACCCTTCTTGAGCGAGGATAGATCGAATGCAAAAAGGACGTACTTTGTGATCTTCACAATGCCTGTCTATTGCAACAAGCTTGATGAAGTTATCGAGTTAATGTTTGACTTTCAGGAACTGATTCTATGAGAGTGAGATAAAGCAACCCTGTTTTATTTATCTGCAATGATATTTGGTCGATATCCTAAGTCATCATTCCGCGATTCAACTAGGTGACCCTTGAACCTGCGTATGACGGAAATCTAACATCAGATCGACAGTAATCCCTGTTTTTGAGACAAGAAATCGATTTCTGTCGGCAAGTTCTGTGGGAGGGCGTTTGTAGGGCCTCCGGACTGAGATGGTGGACATGGAGGTCGCAAGCTGGTCGTCTCTGTCGCAACTCTTGTTCCTTGTGTATCTAGCGCATCTTGTGCCTACATCGCTACCAAGCGCGACCCCTTTGGTGAGAAATCTTGACTTGTCTTGTCGCAGCTTCGTTCGCATTTGCATGGACCGCTCAGTTTTGCTGTATTTGACTGTTTTGAAGGTTCGATTCAGCGATGTTTGGAACAAACAGCACAATGTCTTGCAGCCCGGTTTAGTTTCGTGTGTTCAGTTGCAGGCAGGACTTACCTGTACTGTAGGCGTGACTCAGGCTGATGCGAATGTGCAACAACGGTGGAATATTCGTTGTCCAACTGTATCTTGGCTGACCACTGCTGTGTAGAGGAGTGAACGAACTTCGGCAAATGTTTCCGACTTTTCCCGAGTCGACAATCACTCAGCTTTTGAACGGTGAGCAGCATATTCTAGTGAGTTTGTTCCGGTTGATTTTGACATTTGTATCTCCCAGCTCACTCCGGCCAAGTGGATCAAACAGCTTTGACGATTGCAGCTCTTAGCGAAATTTTTCATAGTGAAGAAGACATTGGTGGAACCTTGATGCCAAACATGGCTGCTCGTGACACTTGAGATGCAGTAGAGGACTCGGTCGTGCTGCCATCCGAGATTCTATTTGATGAGCGACTATCCGATCTCCACAAGCTGGTGTTGAGAAGTAATCCCTGGTTGACCAACTTTCCTCTCCTGATGCCAGGTTCCTCGACTCGAACATTGCAATCATCTTGTCGACTCATATGCCATCTGTCAGGTCCAGATATTCATCATGTGGCAGCAAACCTGGCGCTGGAGTACAAGGTGGGGTAGAGGCCAGAAACAAGTTACAACCATTGAAGGTTGAGGATGCAGGGGAAGTACTGCTGGTCTACCTGTTTCGATGCGGACTTTCTCGCTGCTCTCATGTACGAGGGCTACCTTCCCATGGCAGAGGTGAGCCTTCAGCCTGCATATAGGAGCTTGATTGGCTGACGATGTTGCAGATGACGAAGGAAGGACCTGCCAAGTTTGTTCTTTTGCCCAAGATGCATCATCAAAGGTCCTTCGCTCTCCTTGCTTGCTTTCCTCCGCTGATCTGTTGCCTGTTGCAGATGCATATTGAAGTTCGAAGACCTGCACGTGCGCAAGAAGGTTGCCCATCGTCTGCCTTCCCTCTGCTCGCCTTTGTTCACTTCTGTGCAGCTCCGTAAGAGATCCTCGCGATTCGAAATCACGTGTGACAGGGCGTTCGACGAGGTGGTGCAGGTCCGTCTAGTTGTTGTTGAGACATTGGCTGAGATTCCTGGCAGGGATGTTTAAGACAGCATGGCGAGAACTGGCTCTACCCTCCCTTCATCAGCGTCCTCAAGGTAGCTTACACTAGTCGAGGAAGGGTTGCGTTGTTGAAGCTTGCTGCGCGCAGGAGATTCTCGAACGGGGAGGAATCAACGGTGTAAGGATACATTCTTTCGAGGTTGGACGCTGTTCTTGGGGAGAGGAAATTCATCGTTTGTTGGTGCAGCTGTGGGAAAACGGGACCATGGTGGCAGGAGAAATGGGATACTCTGTTGGCGGATGTTACACCAGGTGATTCCTCTCCTGCTGCTTCTACTGCAGTGACTGAATCATTGCAGCCTCTCTGGTTTCTACACGGTCAAGTCTGCTGGTGAAGATCTCTTCTCCCCGCTCGGTCCCGTTGCATACAATGATCAGTGTACATGTCTGCAGGGAGCGTTCAATGCATAGGGACAGCCAAGTTGCTGCAGCAAGGTGAGCAGAGTTGTAAAGACAGCGCCTCTTCCTCACGTCGCCCTTGTAGCGGGGGCAGCATTCTGGGATCTGGGGATGACGCTCAAGTACAAGGTCAAGCATGCTGCTTCTGCTGCTGCTGCTGCTGCTGCTGCTGATTGTGCTGCAGCTGGACCTCGGCGCGCACTGCGTCCCCCGACAGGCTTTCTTGGGAGAGATCTGGAAGGTGAGTCGTGAAGGGCCACGTGAAGGGTGATAGCATGACGAGAGGCTGCAGACGAGGGACAAGCAGCCGATCGAGCTTCCTCGCGAGCGAGTGAATGTGAAGCAACTGCTGGATTCATTGTCTTGACTGAGCTCAACTTCATTGTGAAAGATTCTTCTGCTGTCGCTAGTTACCGTAGTATTTGTACAATTAGTTGGACTCATTGTTTTTCTGTAAAGTATCTGCTCAACCTGGCAGTGCCACCCCCGAGTCTTCGACTGGCAGATCATGGCATCTGAGTCATTCAATCCCGACCAGGCCGCCGCCCTCCCGCCGCCCCGGCCGGGCCGCTGTGGCCCGGGCACTAATATTTTACGGGGTCTGAAATGAGGAAGAGGGGGTGTAGGAAAGGCAAGGGGTGGGGGAGGGGTATCAATACTGCAGGGTGGGCTCCCAATCGACTCATTGGGGTGGGTTCATGTTCAAAGGGTAGGGTCCTCGTCTAAATGAGGGTGGGTGTTGGTGGGAACTTTGAAAATGCCGTTGACAGGTTATTAGTAGAATAATGTGTTAATAAAGAATCATCATTCAAATAAAATAAAGTTTCCTTAAATAAGACATAAGTTAAGATCTCGTTATAGGAAACATGGAGCTGATTAGCAGATATATTTTCTAATAAGCAACTAAAGGTTTTATTAAAGAAGGAGTGTAATTAATAAGCTGAAACGGTAGACAAGTAGATCGTCGGGGAGGATCCATTAGGCGTGTGAAGTGCAAAGGGGAGGGAGACGGAAGGGAGAAGAGGAGGAGCGAGAGGGAGACGAAGAGGAGAGGAGAGGAGAGGAGAGGAGAGGAGAGGAGAGGAGAGGAGAGAATATGAGATGAGATGAGATGAGAGTAGAGGAGAGGAGCGCAGGTATGAAGGAAGGAGGGAGAGTCGCTGGAAGAGAGAATCTTCAAGTTCAAGTGCATGAGGTTGGCGGAGGTGGAGGCGAACTTGAAAAGGCAAGAATGGACCAAGTACAAGGACAAGAATGTACAGGGTGATTTGATCAATTCATGAGGAGGAGATGAGGGACTGTCAAGCGTGTGTGAATAGAGCGAAGACAGTTCAAAAGACATTCATGCTGATGAATGGAGACAAGAAATGAGTGGGAGGGTTGTAGTCAATTGATTTCTTTTAAAAATGCAAATCCCACAAGGCAGTAGCAATCTTTCTTCATCAAAGACGGCAAGATTCAAAGTTAATGGATGATATCGCGTGTGTGCGAGAGGCAACTGCTTGTGATGGGATGAAACGATCCCGTGAGGCATGGAGGAAGGTTCTGATGTGTTTGTTTTTGCAGACATGAATCTGCTGAACATACGTAGCGATCGTAACCCGATGGTGGTTGCGAAGCAAACCGATACAAGTTCTCCTGCAAGACGCGCCCTCCACCCGGTCAAGGTGAACGTGATGCAGAGAATCAGAAGCTTCCTTGGGGACTCGTCGGCTCCAGGCTCTGCGTCCAAGAAAGTCTCGTCCGCTAAGAAGGAGCGAGGGTCCTCGGCCAAGAAGGTAAAGGGAGGAGCAGAGAGGTCAAGGGAGGGGCAGAGAGGTCAAGACAGGAGAAGAGCATTGGGGGAGGAGATGGGGAGGGTTACAATGGTTGGATAGCACCTGATTTTCTGTTCAGCAATGCCCTGCAAGAAACTATGACGCGCTTCCTTCCATCGACCTTCAGATCTTCTACGACGATGTGCCTCAGCCTGCCAGAAGCATCGAGGTATTAGGCTCAGGGCGGGAAAGGGGAGGTGGCGGGGGCAAAGAAAGAGGGAGGGGAAGAGGAGAAGAAACTGACGAAGGTTGTGCCGGCAGAGGAACATCTGTCTGTCGGAAGACATCATGGCGCTGGTGATGAAGTTCATGGACATGAATACCGCTCTCAACGCTCGTCTCGTGTGCAAGTCCTGGAAGAAGCTGGTCTCAGACGCCAACCTTCAGCCGCTAGAGGCCAACCTCAAAGGCGAGGAGCTTCAGACTGGCCTTGACGCTCAGAGTCTCCTGCTGACCAACAGGAGGCTTGAGAACAACATCTGGACGCAGTCGCACGCGTGCTCTATGAGGACGCATCTGTCACGGCAGGAGACTGTGACAGAGGAGATGAGGACTGTGCTGGTCAACTGGCTCATCGAAGTTCACTTCAAGTTCCGATACAGAGAGCCTTGCCTACACCTCACCATACAGGTACTGCTGATGCCCCTGCCCCTGCTACTGCTCTGCTGTCTCAGTTGCTCATCATTCTCTTTCCCTTCCTCCTCCTTGCTTCCCACCCACAATCCGGCCCCCTGTTTTGATCTTTGACCGCACCATCCATGCTTGCTTCCTTTTCTTTGTCATGAGAAACCTCTCCCCCCCCCCCCCCCCCCCCCTCTCTCTCTCTGGATCGATTCACCCAAACTTTTGATTGCGAATGCTCTTTTTCAATCATCTGGTTTATCCTGTCTGACTTGCTTTTGCAGCTTTTGGATCGTTTCCTCGCTCGTCGTGTTGTGCCGAGGAGGAGGTACCAGACTGCGGGTGTGACTGCCTTTCTTCTCGGCTGCAAGGTAGGGCAGCGAACAAGGGAGGAAGCATGTGACAAGTTCTCAGTTTGAGGAGCGCCAAAACCCTCACGTCGGGGACTTGTCGTACATCACCGAGTACTCCTCTACCCGGCAGAACATCGTGGACATGGAGCGAGAAATGCTCCTTCAGCTGGGGTTCGGTGAGAAGAAGAGCTGCCATCGATGGTCATGTCTGATCTTGATGCGTCAGATCTCGTCCAGCCCAAACCATCTTGCTTCCTTGAAAGATTCTCTAAGGTAAGAACCTCCTTCCCTCCTGCTCCCCCTGCTCCTCCTGATCTCTTCTCATCGCTGTCGCAGGCTGCGGGCCTTGAGACAACTCAGAGGATTGACGGGAAGATGTCGGTCTCACACAGCATCACGCTTTTCTTCATCGACGTTTCCTTCCTCGACTACACCTGTTGCGGCACCAAACCTTCGTTGATCGCTGCTGCTGGTAAGCTCTCCATCACTCTCCATCCCTCCTCCCTCCCTTTCTTTCTCTCCCCCCACTTTCTCCTTCATTTTTGCTCGTTCCTCTTTCAGTTGCCTTATGCCCTGACGGTCATTTAGCGATCATGTGCACCTTGAGGGTTTTGAATCGTTCTGAGTGGACGGAGAAGCTCGCCTACTACACGGGTGTGCGGAGGGAGGAGGAGCGACCGGGGCAGCAGGGGATGACGGAGCTTAACAGGATACTCGAGGTACGAGGTCAAGATGATAGCCGACAAGCTCGAGGATAGAGCCGGGCGACCTTTGAGCTCGGCCATGCAACTGAAATATGGGTGACGAGGCTTGTGGAGAGGGAGAGAGCAGCTGAAACCAGGTCCAGGTCTCCGAGATTTGGAGGCGTCAATAACAACATTCCTGGAGTGTTGACAAGGATTGTGGTGAGTGCTCGATGATGTAGAATGTTGCTCCTGCTCCTGCTCCTGCTCCTGCTCCTGCTGTCGTGGATTATGTTGTTGATAATGATGCTTTTGTCAATCATGATGAGTTTAATTGGGTTGTCAACAGAGCTACATCGAGAACAAGAGGAGGCCGTCTCACCTCTCTGTCCAAATGTCGATGTCAGATGGCCGACTTGTGCAAACAGCTTACGTGTAACGCATACTAACAACTCAGAACTGACATCCCTGAGGCGCAACAAGCGCCTCCATATTGTTGATGAGAATAAAAATCAACAATCTATCTCGCTCATTACTTCTTTTATCTTACACGAGATTTATCATACAATACTGTTCAAAGAAACAATGAAAGTAACTCTCAAGGAGAGACAGGAATTTCACCGATGTCAACATTTGGGAGGGGAGCTTCATCATCATAATCGTCACGAGTCTTGCTCGACCTGTGTTGAGACTTTCTCATCACCTTCTGCTTCATGTCGTGAAAGGCCTGGGCATTGGCAACCTTGATCTCAAACAGATAGCACATCTCGAACAGATCCAGCTCTCCTGTCTTGTCACTGTCAAGGAGGTCGAAGATACATCTGCCGTCATCATCAGCATCACGTGTCAAACAATCGTCTCTTACCTCATCTCAGCCTCGGCAACGTATACCCCAACATGCCTCAGCCCTCTCTTGAACTCGCTATAGTCCACCACCCCGTTCTTGTTCACGTCCATGTTCATTACGAGCTTCTCTGCCTTGAGCTCGAGCTCTTCCAGTCTCCTCTTGATCTTCTTGAACAGCATCCAAACGTGGTTCTCCTTCCCTTGCAGGATCCGCCGCTGCACCTGCTGCATCTCGTACATCTTATCCGCCTCCTCCAGCCTCCCTGTCCTTCCCAGCAAAGGCTCATTCCCCTCCCTCCTCTTCCACGCCTCCAGGCTCAGCGACCGGAACATCTCCTGCAGGTCTGCCGTTCCACTCGCATCATGATCGAAGACGCTCACCAGCATCTTGTACTCCTCCTGCTCCATCCCGATCCCCAACCTCCGCAGCATCAGTTCCATATCTCGCGCCCGCATCCTAGCGACAGGTCGGCAACTCTGCTCCTGCCGGAGGACTCGCTCGAGGTCAAGCTTCATCTCGTCCAACCGGCTGACAAGTTTGCGTATCACGCGAAATTCTCCTCCTCCAGCTCCCTGCGACTGCAGGAGCCGCCTAAGATACCTCTCCCTTGCCAGCTCAGGGTTCGATGCTCCATTCACATCCTCCTCCTCCTCCTTCTCCCTCTTCTTGTGCTGCGCTCTTTCCTGCTCCCTGGCCTTGTCCTTTCCGATCACTTCAGGCTCCATCTCGGATGTTGCAACTCTCTGCACATGAGGCACAGAGCTGTCAGTGTGCGACCGGACTTAATGTTGCGCTGAACAAGCGAAGATTGCGATGGGACGATTGAAATGACAATGAAACATCAGGGTGAAGATGAGGGTGAAGGTGAGAAGGAAACAACAACGCTGTTGGTGAGCAGGAACTGGAAAGGAGGAGTGGAGGATGAGGACATGGCAGAGGAGCAGCAGAGGAGAAGGAGCACAACCTGGTCGACATCGAACACTTGCTGGAACAGCTGGATGTCGATGGTCCCATCCTCTCTCAGGTCGAGCCGCTGCAACAGTCTCCTCCTCTCTTCCTTGCCAAGAAAAATGTTGATGGAGCCCAGAGCCCGCTCGAACAGTTTGCTGTCCACCCTCCCCTCCCCTTCCTCGTCCATGGCTCGGAGCAGCGTCATAACGTCTTTGTCGAGCCTCCCAGGAGCATGTAGAGCGAAGAGTCTCTCTGAAATCCTCCTGTACAGATTTCTCTCCTCCTGCTGTGCTCCTTCCAGCACGTGCGCCTGAACTGTTGATTTCCTCCATGGCACCATTTGCAAGGGCCGAACGATGTCTCTGACCTCCCTCCCTCCTCCTCGCACTCTCTCCCTCGGAGTTCCATGGAGTGCGAGCACGAGAGCGTTGGGGTCGGCCTTCAGCAGGTCTCTCTCTGTCCGCCCCCTGACTCCCCTTCCTCGATTCTCGTCCATGAATCTCTCTCCCTTCCCCGCCTGCATCTTCAACGCGTCCCTGGCGTTGTTCCATTCCTCCACCTCCTCCTTCCTATGCTTTCCTCCTTGTCTCTTCTCCTGCTCTCGTTCTCGGTTCAGATCGTCCTTGTCGAGGATGAAGCATTGCTCCTCTCCCGTCGCTCCTCGCCCTGCCCATGTCCCCCTCGTCCTCCTCCCACGTACAACCGCCGCCATGCCCGACTGCTCTGCTGTCTTTTGTCAATCTTCTAATTGCTCTCTATAAGTCTCATCGCTGCCTTTTTGCCCTGCTCCACCTTCAAAATTTGAAATAAATCAAGTCTACCTCAGACTTATGTATTAGAAGCTCCACAAGACAGCAATCGGAGACCTAGACATTTGACCCGAAATGATCCTCTGCCTTCCTCTCTCACTGAACTTCCGAAGCATTTGACCGCCGGGACAAGCCGCTGTTGACTTACGACAAGAGGAGAACTGTCGCGAAGAGGAGAGGAAGAGAGGAGAGGAGGAGAGGAGAGGAGGAGAGGAGACTCCCGATGAGAGGAGAGCCAGCCGACTCAGCAAGTTGGAGAGGAGAGGAAATGACAGGCTAGGACAGGATTGAGAGGACCGAGAATAATGTACAGTACAGAAGAGGACAGGAGACGAGCCGTAAAGAAGAACAAGTTGGAATTGTTGTCATATAAGGTATCTTCTCCCTGACTGACTGAGATTTATTACGATCAGAGCTGGACGAAAACTTCCTCAGGCTATTCATCCCGGCCTCTCCGTCGCGGCACGTCATGGAGGGATACGACTGGTGTCTTGATGGCAACGACGAGCAGGAGGCGTTCTATTTCGACATGGACGGGCAGCTTGACATGCCGAGCAACCCCCGCGAGCACCTTGATCAGATCCACTCCCTCGCCGTGCAGAACTACATCCACACACACTTGCAGCGACGCTGGTGGCAGAAAGTTTGCTCCAGCCCTGAGATCGGGGGGTTCAGGCAAGGAAGGTGGCACCTGATACACCCCGACTCTTATTTCTCCATCCTCGCCTTTGTGGTTCGACGGCTGGTCCTGGCGTATACTATGATCGCAACTCCTCTGATGGTTGCCTTCTACTGGAAGCTCGAAGGATGCAGCAACTACCCGACTATCCAAGTACACCTAACCCTCCTCTCCTCCATTCCTATGTCGCTCCCTTGCTCTCTCCTGTTTCCCCTCCAGTCTCCTCCGATCTGTGGACTTGTTCCACCGTTGTTCTTCTCTTCCCCTCTTTTCATTGTGAGCTCCGAGTTTCCCTTCTTACTTTGCCATACAGGCCGATGTGTTTTGCGACGCATTTTTTCTTGTGGACATCGTCCTGCACTGCTTCACAGGAAGGAATCAGTGAGAGCGAGGAGAGGCTGTTGGTGTTCCATGACGCTCCTGAGCAGCTTGGGGAGATATATTGACTCCTGGAGCGTCGTTACAAGGATTTACTTGAGAAAACAGCTATGGTGTCTATCCTTGCTGCTGCTGCTGCGTTTACTGCGTCTGCTGCTGCGTGTGCATCTGCTGCTGCTGCGGCATCTTCTTCTTCTTCTTCTCTTTCCTCTTGCTTGTTTGACTGCAAAGCCCGCAGGCTGGACATTTTGACGTCCCTGCCTGCTGCTACCTGTGAAATCATCCTGTCACGACACTTTTGCTCCTCCCACACAGACACGATCGGTGAATGCTCGGCTGCGCTCCTGTCAAGTGTGACGAGCAACTTCAGTTGACTACCTGAAGATTGTTCGACTGGTCCGGATGGCGAAGATTTTCTTCCCAGACGACCTTCAGAGCTCTTCTACCTTCCTCTCCTCCTGGAAAATGTCTGCCGACGCCCAAGAGCTGCTGGGAGCAAGGGACGTCTGACATGCCAAGCAGGGTGCTGGACTCTTGGAACCCGATACCTCAGAACGTCTTGTCGCTCCTCCGATACTTCCTCTGGGTTGAAGCCCGAGCTGGTTGATTTTGGTGCTTGAACGGATGTTGCAGTTTACGTTTCTAGTCCATATCACTGCCTGTATTACCTGGGTCATCAAACTGGTTTCAACACCTGAGGTATAACTTGATGGCTGCTGGTGGTGCTTTGACTTGGACGGGACCTGTGCTGCTCTACCCTGCTCAGGAGGAAGTTGAAGACTTCTTGAAGAGATGGATCTGCAACAACAATCATCGATGCGGCTCGTCGATCGGTTACGTTCCTTGCCCTTCGTGCGACGATCAGTTCTCTCTGTGGCACAGGTAGCCTCGATGGTACATCAACCTCCTCCTTCTGACTTTGCATCTCAGATATGTTCTTATCATCTACTTTGTCAACACAATCTTCACCAGCGTCTGTCTCCCTCCCCTCCAGTCCTGTCGATGATTGTCATTCAGGTCGGTTTTGGCGATCTCAGCCCCCGCAACAGCGATGAAAGGTTGTTCACTATCGTCACACTCTACACTGGAACCATCATGTTTGCAACTATCCTGTCAGAGGTTGCTTCGCTCTTTCCTCCCTGCCTCATAGCCGTCTAATGCCCTTCAGGTTGAAAACATCATCGACTATCTCCGAGAGTTCAGCAGGAGGCATGCATACCGCCTGCAGGAAGGTGACCCGAACTTGTAAGGAGGAGCCCTAGGCAGCGTGTTGAACCTTCAAACGGCAGTCCGAGACTTCCTGAGGGAGGGGGGGCGGCAAAACGTCCTGGACGACAAAGTGAAAGAATGGATCCTCTTCGATGGACAGGTTCAATCAGACAACTTGATCCAGAGAGATTGTCTCTCCAGACTACCCTACCCCACAAGGAAACAAGTGAGCCTGCGATTTCTACTCCTCCTTTTACTGCGGTCCCATGAGCTTTCGTCGTTGAGCTCGATTCGCAGGTGCTGGAGTACCTTCACAACGAGAAACTTTATACTGTCCCCATGCTCGCAAGCTTGCGCAAGTCCTCTCCCTCCACTGCCTTCCCTTCCTCTGCTCTTCTCTCCTCTCTCCTCATCCTCATCTATCTCCATACCATCTCATCTCTCCAACAGATTCCCCACGGGGAGGGACTTCCTGCTGCAGCTCTTTCTGCATCTGCAGCACAAGACCTTTGCTCCCTTCAGATTGTTAGTCTCTCTTGATCATAGTCCTTCTCTGACCTTTCTCTGCTCCTCTGCTCCTCTGCTCTTCCCTTCTCCTCCTGTACCTAGATGTGCCGAGAGCGGAGAAGTCAGCGAAGGACTCTTCATCGTTCGCAGTGGTGTGCTGCAAGTGATTGCAACAAACTCATCCGACAACGCGTTCCTCGGCCCAGGTTCTACCTCGTTTCCTCCTCCTCCTATTTCTTTTTCTCCTCCTCCCTTTTCTTCTCATTCCAGTGCTCGTCCTCGTCCCCGGCTGCTTTTTCTTTCCTTTTTCTCTTCTGCACCTGCTGCTGTTTCTACCACCGTGGTTACATAAGGGGGGCAGGCGACTTCTGGGGAGAGTTCTCGCTCTTCAGCTATAACACATCGTGCCCGACTCTGCCTTCACTCTCTGGCATTTGTCATCGACATAGCATCATGGCAATCAGCCCGGTGATGCCTCCTGCTCCCTGCTCCCTGCTCCCTGCTCCCTGCTCCCTGCTCCCTGCTCCCTGCTCCCTGGTCGTCTGACCATATCCCTCGGCAGGTTTTCTGCTGGTTCCTTCCCTCCTCTGCCTTCCAGCACATTGCCCAGCACTTCCCAGGCAAGTGCCCAGCTGATGTTCTCCCTCTCCCCCTGACGAGGTCGCGCTAGAGCTCCACCCTGTCCTCCGCCTTGGCTACGAGATGACTTTCCGCAAGCGCAAGGGGCACGAGGAGGAGTGGATGAAGAGGGGAAACTTCTCGTTAGCCAGTCATGTGGACAGGATTGACGCACAGCTGCTGCTAGAGCAGAGGTGGGCCTCCTTTGCTGTCCAGCTCCTGTTGAGCAACAAGCTTGGGCGACTCCAAGACGCCGTCCTCTCCAAAGTCTCGCACGAGGATGTGATGATGAGACAGCGCGGGTCTCAAGTGAGTGCAAGGGGAGAGGAAACAGCGGAGCAGCAGGAGGGAGGGAAGCGCTTGCGCGAGGGGAAGTGCAAGGTTGAGACGTCAGCACACAGGAAGAAATTGATGCGGATCATGGAACAGCAACTTGACGCGCTTGCTGCTGTTTTGTGTGAAGTCGTCAAGGTTGTTGAGATGGCTCAGCAAGTTGTGCATGCTCGTATAGAGAGGCAGAGGAGGTAAAGAGATTGCAGGGATCGTGGTTGTAAACTTTGTACATGTATTAGACTCCAAAGAAATAATGTTACAATAGATGGTGATACGGAACTCGCGAGAGCTCCCCAAAAAAGTTGTCATCGTTGGAAAACTTCCATGCTGATCCGGATTAAAAAAACCATCATTGCATTACTGGTCATTACGGCTCTTCCTTCCGCTGCTTCTTCATCGCATGCCGATGCTTCTTCAAGAAATGCTTCTGCGCATGCGACCGGACCTGCAGCGGAGACCTTGTCTGAACGTGCGAGGATATCAGCTCAGCAACTCCTACCCCCAGTCCCACCGAGATCTTCCCATCTTTCTCTGCCTCTCGCTCTGCCTCTGGACAGAACTTGGCCAACCCCTCCAAGAACTTCCTGTGCTCTTCCTTGGACCACTGGGACTTGTTGAACTTGTGCCCGTCCCCGCTGCACGGCTCATGTTGCCCGCTGAAGTCGAAGCCCTCTTCAGGAGAGGAGAGGGTATCGATCTGCGACTTGGTCTCAGACGGCATCATCAGACTCCTTCCAATGCCTCCGAGGTTCCATCCCCGGCTGCTGTCGAGCATGCTCACATCAAGGTGAAGAGGAGGAGGCTTGGGTGGCTCCCACACGTTGAGATCCGATGGGTTGAAGTTGAGGTCGCAAGAGTCCCACGAGGGCAGAGGAAACCAGAGCCCTGCCTCGGGGAAGTAGAAGCAGTTGGTCTTGGACTCCATGCACGGGGACTCGAAGCACGAGGTACTCGAGCACGATGAGTTGCTGGAGCACAAGGTAGAATCCTGCGTCATCGAGCAGTGAAGAGAATCATTGTGAGGGGAAGGGTGAAGGATCTCATCGGGGAAAATTTCGGCGATGGCATCAACCAGACTTTTTGACGTCATTGAACAAAGCAGAGTTGCAACAAGTTTGTATCCTTTGATTGTCTCCCAGTGTTGAACGTTCACTTCTGCATTTCACAGCAGGACGAGCTAGGATCAGAGGATGGCAGGAGGAGGAGGAGGAAAGCAGGTACACTGGTGCAGAGGAGATGAAGGTGATAAATAGAAATGAAGACGGGGAGAGACGAGGTGGAGGACGTGGGGGATCAAGGATATGGGGGCGATCGTGGGGCTTGGTGACCAAGGCGTCAGAAATGGAATACCAGGAGGGGTGGGGTAGTTGCATTTCGAATGCACTGCATGGCATGAACCCTGCTCATATTATATAGAAGGGATCTATAGAAATTTATGACCCTGACGACTTTTCATTAGAAACCCTTAAGAGCACAGTCGGAAATAGGGGTGGTGGTTTTTGGTTCAGAAATAAGACGCAGGCTAAAAGTAATGTATGTACGGCCTCCTTCGTAGTAAATAGGTCTTTAAGATGTAGTAAACTTGGTCAGCATTAGAACAATGAGCTGAAAACACATTGTTTCGGATCATAATTCAAGATTTATTTTCAAAAGTTGGACTTTGGTGCCACGATCGACACTGACATCGGAGACAACCGCCGATGCCAACTTTTCAAAATCAAATTCATCTATCAAATTTCATTCCAAAATTCACAAATGTCAAAAGATATTTTCAAGGGCAAAAGATCTAAAAGATCGTGCCAACTGAAATTTGGGCCCCATGGCCTCCCTTTCGCAAAGGTAACATGGCTCCCTCTCATCACCCCCATTCTATCAGTGAAATGTACCCGTACTTCATAACGACTGAGAAGGTAGCAGCGTGACCGGCAGGCACCAAGATCTTGAGTCACGAGGACCTTCCGTTGTTCCGAGAGCCGGGTGCCCGGGGCCCGATGTCGTCCGATGTCGCCGTCCTCCCACTTAGTTCATCACTCAAAGTCCTCGTACTGAATTTTAACTTAAAAACTTTGAGTAAACGAAATTCATGGTCGAAACTGGCAGCAGTCACTTGTGAGAGAGTTTGAGGGCAACGCAACGAGAGAGATACATTGTGTGAACAAGATTTATTGAGACTGTGGTGAGATCAGACAACAACCTCTGCCGGACTCTTAGAGAGCAATCTTGCTGGCTGACTGAGCCAGCGCGCGAGCATACAGGAAGAGAGCGACGTGAAAGATGCAGTGCCCCCATCCTGAGAAGAGCTTCTTGTTGAGCACGGGGATGAAGGACATTCCTCCTAGCCCCATGCTGAGGAAAGCAATGACGAAATTCTCGTAGTCTTGTCTCCACGCCATGGGAGCGTTGTACATGCAGACGCTGATCATGACGGGGACCCATCTTCTGCCATCGTTGGATGTTGACGCATCCCATAACAAGATTATTGCGTACACGTTGTAAACAAGGTTGATGAACATGTAGAACATTGATCCGGAGAGAGCGTATGCGAACACTGTCCCCAAGACATGCTGCATACTCTGATCCAGCCGGCGCATGTCGTTGTCAAGTCGATCCTCGTACCGGGAGAATGCGACGCTCATGTGATAGGTGAAGGAGACAGGCAGGTGAGAAACAGTTCCGAGCAGCAGCAAGATCACCAGGGGATGCGGCCAATTCATCGCGAAGTGAGAGAGCGCGATAGTCGGGAACAACATCGTCACAGCATTGAAGAATTCCTGCAATGGGGTCATGGCGTAGAGCTCGGCATGGCAGACATGTGAAGCTTCCTTCGCCATACTCTACTGCATCCTACTGATCCCCTTCACTTCACTTCGCTCACAAGCATGCGGCTCCCGCGACCCTCTCCCGTGCCCAGTAGCACTGCAGCTGCGGTGGACATTGTGAGAGGTAGGGGAACACATAAAGGGTCGGTATGAGGGCTTCCGATCCCTCCAAAGAGCCTGTAGAGAGCCACTCCGAAACCCATGGCGGCAGTGCGGCGAGTGGAAGGGGAGGAAGGCAAGGAGGCGATAAGGTAAGCGGAGAAGAAGAGGATGGCAGGGGATGATCGTGGGTTGGAGGAGAGAGAAGGCGGCTCCTGGATGGGGCGCGGAAGGAGATGAGGGCGGGAGAGGGTTCGAAGAATCGGAGGATCGTTATTCGCGGGAAAGAATTTCATGCTGAGAGAAAAGGGAGGAGTAGTTGGCGGAGAAGCAGAGGTTGGAAACAAGACAAGAGGAGGAAAGGAGCAGAAGGAGGAGGAATCGAGGCGGAGGGAGCATGCGATTGTTCTACGTCCTTTGATGTCTTCGAGCCTCTCTCATTGCATGTGTCAGTCTGATCAAGGACGGTAAGCTTGACCGTCCGGTCGTGCTGGTCGGTTTCATCGAGGGCTGGCCTGCGAGGAAATGGACGCCTTTCTCCCTGGTGGGCTACCTAGACGCTGTTCTCAGCTGATGTCCAGCTCCAGGCTCAGGGACCCCTGGCTGAGGTCACGACGTCCTTCCGCTTCGGGGCAAGAGGATCCCAGGAAGTGACCAGAGAGGTGAAGAGGATGTGGTAGAGGTGGAGGAGAAGGGCAAGTTGATGGCTGCTTGCAGAATGATTGCTTCTTCAAGTCCCTATCTTTCCGAGACTTCTTCCTCTGGAGTCAGGAAGGGAACGGTGTTAGCAAGGACAACGCCGCCCTCGACAAAATCACGAGGAGTCTGGGCGGGTAGGAGAGGCTGGAGGGTCAAGTGATCTGCGGGGAGGAAACCTGGATGTTGTTGAGGACTTTTGATCCTGCTCCGCCAGGAGGAGCAAGGGAGCGTACTGGGGCTACGCGGACTACAAACGGTTTCACGAGCTCTTCCGCGGCTTTCCCCAGAGTCAGGCTGAAAGAGTTTTTTCTTGTTTCCTCACCCCCCACGACAGATGGTGAAAGTTTCGTGGACTGGAGTAGCGTTGGCGTGGATACTACTGGCTACGTGGTGAGCCCGATACTGATGTCCTTCCACTGCCCTTCTCTCCTGCCTCCCAACTCTTACCCGTCCATCGCCCACAGCACAGCAACTTCTGGTATGGCAGCGCCGGGTCGGAGGCTCAGGTTTGACCCCATCGGTTGTGAGACGACGTGTTGACGGGAAGCAGTGTCACTACGACACGTACGGTTACAACCTCGTCGCCCAGGTGCGGGAGCTGGAGGAGCAGGGGGAACGGCTGACGTGTTAGACCGCTAGCTGTACGGAGAAAAGCGTTGGCTGCTGTTTCCTCCTGGTCTTGTTGGCGATGGGAGGCTGGGCTGGCAGCTGAAAATCTGAGGAACAGGGGACAGGAAGGGGCTGATGCGCCCGACGAGGATCCCGTATGAGGAGAGCTCGGTGTTCAGTGACCTCAAGTTCAAGAGCGCCGGGGTCAGCAGACAAGTCTGCTGTGCTCGCTTGCTCATTGTTTGTTCAAGGAGGTCCCAGGCGGCATGGAGGTTGTGCTAAAACCAGGAGAGGTGCTAATCCTATCGCAACTCCCTCCTTCTCCTTCTCTTTCTCCTACTCCTTTTCCTTCTTCTCCTTCTCCTCCTCGTCTCCTCCTCGTCCTCCTCCTCGTCCTCCTCCTCGTCCTTCTCTTCCTCCTCCCCTGCTCGCCTTGTGCTTCCCCTTGTTCATGTCGTGCGACCTAGCCACTCTCCTCTTGCTCCCCTCTCTCTTTCAATCCCTCCCTCTCTCCTCTACCTCCCTCTCCTCCTTCCCTCTTTCCCAACCTCTCCCCTTTTTCCTTGCTCTTTTTCTCTCCTCCTGTTCAGCTTCGTTAGGTCCTCTACGTTCCGCACTATTGGTGGCACCAAGTTGAGGTGAAGTAGAGCCTTCTTGTTGACTTGCCTCACCTTGAGCCGCATCTTGTAGGCTCTGTCAGACAGCATCTCAGTCAACTCATGGTGAGAAGAATCACCTGCTGCTGCTGCTGCTGCTGCTGCTGCTGCTGCTGCTGCTGCTGCTGCTGCTGCTGCTGCTGCTGCTGCTGCTGCTGCTGCTGCTGCTGCTGCTGAATGCCGATGGTTGTGGTGTCGGTGATGATGATGATGATGAGGAGGAGCAGGAGCAGGAGCAGGAGCAGGAGCAGGAGCAGGAGCAGGAGCAGGAGCAGGAGGAAGGCATTATACATGCCAAGTAAAACAAAAGTGGATAGCAGAAAGGGGAGGAGGGCGTGTGGAGGTGTATCGTCTCTCTTCATGCGATCTGAGGAGCTGTCAGGGTGGATCTTCCCGTTCCAGACTCGTTCGAGAGAGTGAAGGAAGGAATCGTGCGGCTGGTCGCCTGTAACTTGCATGTAAGGAGACGGCCAGGAGGGAAGCAGGACGAGTGATGGTGGAGCAGACGAAGAGACTGAGGACAACAGACGAGATGGCAATGCGCACAAGCAAGAAGAACCACGGGGAGGAGGAGGAGGAGGAGGACAACGATTGGATCAACCCGACGGAGGAAGTCAGGGGGCTTGTAAGTTGGTTCTTTACTTGTCAAGCTCAAGCTGAGCATGTGGCAGGCGTGGGACATGGAAGCTCTTTCGGTGGCAATGAGCGATTGCCATACAGTCAGAAGAGAAAAAAGTGGCAGGTGAGGGGGCAGGGCGGCTCTTGTTGTTGTCTTGTAGGAGATGAGACGGGAGGACTATGTAGCAGCAGAGCTGCTCGTGCTTGTGCTCCAGCCTCTGCTCCAGCCTCTCCTGTTTCTGCTGCTGACACAGTCGCAGAGGGGCTCCCAGGTTGCTGGAACTGATCAAGTTGCATCAAGTTGTCAAAGCTCTTACTCACCCTCGAGTCGTAGAGGTCTGCGGCCCTCCCCTCCCCTTCCAGCTGACCCCCAGCTCAGGCTGCTGCCCGCCAGCTGATTCTTGACCACTTCGGACCTGATATCGGTCAGCTAGAGATGCGCTGGTGAAGGCTGGGCTGACGTGGATGCAGATCTCCCTGAGGTGGAGAGCAGCTGGGGAGAAGAAGCAGAGCTGGGAGGGAAAGCAGCGAGATATGAGGGAGGTATAGAGTAGGAGGGAGGAGGGAGGAGGGAGAAAGTTTCATTCAGGATTTATTGATGGAAGCTTCAGGGAAGGAGGATGGAGCATCTGCTGCTTGCGAAGCTGCTGAGAGGTCTGTGAGGAGGACTTTGCTTGTTCTTACTCATTAAGATCCTCTAGCTCGCCGTCTGCCAAGAGACCGAGGGCGTAAAGGAGCGCGAGTGACTCGGGTTGATGCCGTTGAGACGTGAGCATGTCTTGCTCCTGCAAGACGTGCTCTCGAGGTTGTGAGGTGCTGAAGGTGGATGTTTGTTGGAGCAGCGAGGGAGAGCTAAGAAGTTTCACATTCATTAAGTCACTTTATTATAACATTGTCCTCTCCATGGCAAGAAGGTTAAATAATACATTCACATCTCATCTCGTCTCATCTCATTCCTCCCCTGCTGCCTTGCGACTGCCACGAGCCTCTTTCCTCAACCTGAAATGTGCAGTCAGAAGCAAATATCGCCTGCAGAAGCGATGCAAAGGGAGAAGGGAGAGGGAGGGAGGAGAGAGCGAGAGGAGAGGGAGGGAGGGGAACAGGCAGGGGGAGGACAGGGGGATGACCTCAGCTCCGCCTCCTTGATCGCCTGCACGAAGGGTCGGATGTCTACCGAGTTGCTCTGTAAGCATTTCTCGCACTGCTGCTTCAGCTCGGAGGTGTGGGGGAACACAAGCTCGAACCCCCCCAGCTTCTCTTCCTTCGCCTCTTCCCCTCCCCCCGGTTGAGCAGGCTTGTTCCGTGCGCACACGTTCTCCTTCGCCTGTCTCGACGCTCCTGCCGGGGGTGTGGAGGACGCGCTCCTGCTCAGCGTTCGCAGCCGAGGAGCAAGAGGAGGCCGCAGGGAGGAGACCGAGGGGGCAGACGCTTCCTCCGCTCCCTGCGTGAGGGTACGAGCAGACAGGCTGGCATGCTTCGTCTTGGAGGACAGATCCCTGTTCGCCACCTTACCGCTGCTGCTCAGAGGGTTCTTCGCCTCGGTCTCCACCTGCAGCCGGCCTGCGCTTGCCGACTTGTGATGGGCCAACCAAGGGCCCCTCGACTTGACCGTAGAGCTCATAGAGGTAAGGATCGCGCTATGGTCTGGCCGGCCAGCCGGGGGCTTCGTCTGCTCGATCCCCTGCTTCCTCTTCTTGGGCTCCTTGGGCTCCTTGGGCGCCGGCGCGAAGCCTAGGAGGTCGATGGTGTCGCTGATGAGCGCGTCCTTGACCTCCACGTCGAGCTCCGTGTCGGTGGCGAGGGCAGGAGAGGAGTTGACCTCGATCAGCCAGGGCTTCAGCTCGCTGTCCACCATCACGTCGAACCCGAAGAGCTCAAACCCGGAGGTCTGCCGGGGGATCTTGGGCCAGAGGGCGAGGGTGGTGAGGATGATGATGTGCTTGATCCTCTCGAAGAGGAGCGAGTCGTCCACCCCTGCACTGCTCAGGTACTTCCTGAGCCTCGTCAGCGTCCACTTGCACCCCGAACCCACTGTGTCTTTGTGCTCGTCGAGGGAGGGGGAGAACTTGTTGATCGAGGAGTTGGTGAGGTGAGCGAACAGGTTAGCGATGGAGGAAGAGTCCTTGGAGTACTTCTCCGTGGCGAACCTCACTAGACCCTCCCTGTACAGGTAGCAGCGGATCGGATGGAACGAGGTGACGAGGACGTAGAGACGGAGGTCGAACTTGAACCCTCCCACCAGCAGAGGGTTGGCGATGTACTCCTGCACCACGTACTGCTGGTCGTACACCAGCTGGTACGGTAGGGTCAGCGCAGCGACAGCAGGAGAGGAGGGGACCTGAGACATGTCGGAGATCAAGAAGATTCCTCGTCCTCGGCTCGAGTCGGACGGCTTGCAGATCCAGAGAGGCTTCTCCTCCTCCCTCTCAGCGTACTCGCGCATGAAGGCGACGTACTCGTTGGGCAGCACGAACGTGGTGGGGACGAAGTTGAAGATCGGGCTACACGTGAATCAGGAGGAGGAGGAGGAGGAGGAGGAGGAGGAGGAGGAGGAGGAGGAGGAGGAAGAAGAAGATCCCACCCGTAGGAGCCTGCCAGCCGTTTGATGTTCCGGTGCAGGTTGTCCTTCTTTGTGATGTTGCTGCTCTTGGGGCAGTGGTTGATCCGTTGGTGGGAGAGGCACCTGGCCGAGGGGTCACAGCAGGAAGAAACGACGAGGAGGGTCCAACCTGTCCCAGTCGCTGAGCTTGAACCTCCCACTCTTCCAGTGGAGCGACCACAGCTCTTCAGGGTCCTTGTCTTTGTCCCACTCGACCCATCCCTTCCGCAGCAGGACCCTCCTGTCACACGGAGTGGTCACGCGCACGAGACAGCAAGGGAGGGAGGGAGGGAGGAAGGTACCGGATGACCGGAGGTACTCGCGTCTCAGAGCATTTGAAGTAGATCACCGCCGCCTCCTAAGGTGAGGGTGAGATGGTCACTGAAGAATTACCAGGGGGAGCAGGGGAGCAAGAGAGAGGGCAGCAAGTGGGTAGATCGAGGAAGGGAGTCAAAGCACCTCTGACATGCTGTGTGATGTCAACTTGTTCGCGCGTTCTCGTGCATACAGTAGTCCTGAAAACAATCGTCTCACCATGTGCAGGTATGATCCCTTCCGATGGTTCTGAGTTGCTCTCCTAGTCCAGCTTCTCTCAGCACATGTTCCTCCTCCTCCCTCCTCCTCCCGCCTCCTCCCTCCTTGACCTCCTGATCGTCTGCTTCTCTCTCCCCATCTCCCTCCTTCCGCTCTCTCCTGCCTGCCTGCCTGCCCTTCCTATCCCATCCGGCACGATCCTTCGAGGCATTTCCGTTGTCCCAAACCACCGATTCGAATCAAATCAATTCGATCGAATCAATTAGGCGAGCTCAATCCACTGAGGCAGGCTCGGCCCCTGTTCAATAGAACAAAAAAATGAGTTTGGGGGACAGCAGTCGGCAGGATTAGGTTTGGTTCTCGCTGTCTTTTCCCTTCTCGCCGTTTGGCCTGTGCAGCCTGAGTGCGACAGTGTCAGGGTCAAGCCTCCTCGACTCTCCTGATTGTCCTCGTACTGATTTTTAACTTTACTTTGCGTAAAGAGAAGAGAACAAAAAAATGGTTCGACGATCGGACAAGTTCCGGTTCCATCCCTCGTCACTCCCTCTGATCCAGCTCTTAGCTCGCCCCCTCAACAACCTCAACAACCTGACAACCTGACCTTAGCGTCCTTTCAACACCTCTCCACCATGACCCAAGTCAAGCTCACCCTCAACCCTTCTCAGAAAGCCTACCTCGATAGACTCGCCTCTACCGGCTCCAGCTCTCCCGCGTCTTCGTCCCTTTCGTCTCCCGGCCGAGGCTCGTACATCGAAAATGCCAAGGCGAAGCTCATGATGAGGTTGAAGAGCGACAGGAACCTTGCGGAGCTGGGAGTGGAGGAGGTGTCGAGGGCCCGGGAAGGGGGGTACTGGCGCAGTGCGACGAGTCGGAGGGGTATCAATGACGAATCTGTCATCGGCGAGCATGATATGATGAGGATTTGTGTGAAGCAATTATTTCGGTTTGTTGTGTGTTTGATAGTTAATCAACTAACATAACACGCAGTAAATGTGCTTGTTTGCTTTCTACTTGTTTAGTGCATGTCATATATCTACATGTCACCAAACGGACGGCTCGCTTTGCTTTTTATACATAGTAATCCGAATGAGCCCGAGCCTTGGTGCATAGGCACAAAAGAAGTCACAGCGAGTTACAGTACAGTACGTCTTTCTGTTCTCAGATTCCATTCAAGCATGGTGATAGAAAGTAGGTCTGAGGCAGCTCCAGCATCATATGAGCCCCTCCCGCAGGGCCCTATCCTCTACTAGTTGCGCTGGCTTCCATATCATCTTCTCTCAGGAACTTCAAGCCTCCGACAGCTCCGTGCTCTTCGCTGCCACGGTACTGACAGATCAGCAATCAATCTTTCCTTCCTCGTCATCCGTCACTACTCAGTCAGCGGCGGTGGTGGGGGCTGGCACATACATGTATCACGGATACCGTACCGTATGCAATCATCAACGGTTCCAACTTGACTTGAGTGTCAGTCCGCTCTGCCTCACTCCGCATCATGACGAGCAATGAATCATCGAGTCTCGCAAGAAACAAGGCGGCGGCCCCGCTCCACCGTCAAATGTTCCGAAGTTCACTCAACTTCGTAAAATTCCTGTGCTAGCTAGGCGACGGTCAAACTTTAAAAACCAGAGATAGTATTACTGACGCCTCGGTCAGCAACGGTCAGCTGACGTCTCACGTTCACTCTGGGGCCTTACACCCGTCCACGTGGCAAGACCCGGTGGCCGACTGGCAGATCCGCCACCCTTCAACTCCCGGCCGTGAGTCACAAATTGCTGGTGCTAGCTGCGGCTTCTTCAGAGTGACCCCCAGTGGTCACGGTCCCTGGACCTAGGTCGCACTCGGAGTCATACACCGATACGGGCAGAAGCCTCTTGGCACGGACGCGAGATACATGAGAATATCACAACGTTTGGTATCTGGTTTACGGCCCGCAATGTACAAATACCCCCAAGATGATACAAGAGAATGGGTCATTTACAGGGTAGGGGTAGAGGTGAGATATGAAAAGAGAGGTTTCGATCGTATAGTCGGGATCTGCGATCTCCCTGATAACCTGCAAGTCTCACTGACGTCCATCCTCTTCTTCCTCCTCCTCCTCCTCCTCCTCCTGCGGTCTTTCCATCAAGTGATTCTCTTCCTCTGTTCGTCACTCGTTGGATCTCTACAACATTCATCTTCCTATCAATACCTCTCCACCATGACGCCTGCAAGACCCCAAGTCAAGCTCACCCTCAACCCTTCTCAGAAAGCCTACCTCGATAGACTCGCCTCTACCGACTCCAGCTCCCCCGCGTCTCCGACCCTGTCGTCTCCCGGCCGAGGCTCGTGTCGGGTGCAGGCAGACGGCGAGTCGCTCATGAGCAACATCAAGAATGCCAAGGCAAAGCTCATGATGAGGTCGAAGAGCGACAGGAACCTTGCGGAGCTGGGAAGGGAGGAGGAGACGAGGGGGAGGGGGATACTGCGACGAGGGGTATCAATGACGAATCTGTCATCGGCGAGCATGATATGAAGAACATACGAATTGAGTTTTTTAATTGAGATTTTAATGATAGATCCTGTACAATAGAAGAAGTATAATCTTTGAATGCTTTCGTGGAAATCATAAAGAAAATACTGAGAACACTGTCGAATTTTCTATCAAAAACATTTACACGTATCTTGCTCTCAGACAAATACATTGTACCTCATTATACAAGGTATGTGTTACAACTACCTGATAAGGAAAACAAAATTAGTTTACACGTGAGCATAATTGATTGTATCAAATTAACTCATTGATTTGAGGCGGATGTGTTAATCTATTCTCGGTTGAGTGAGTCGATCTATGTAATAAGGTACGGCTTCTGCTTGAAGTTCCAAGTAACGTTCACACAGCCCGAAGCTTTACGACTTGCAGACGTCTTCAGCGAATACTCAAGGCTCCTTTGCTGGATCACATGAAGGTGAAGTGTAGTGATGTCGAGTTTACTAGAGAACAGACCCTTGTAGCTGAAGAGGCTGATTCTTATATATGGGCTAAGGAATGGACTAGGGGTAGTGCTCCTTGCTGAAGGAAGCAGGGGGGTCCTCTGCTTGGAGGTTGACAAGCTTCTCCCCTTAGATTTTGAACATCCCATCAGCACTTGGAGAGGAAACCTTGCACTCTCGTAGGGAAGAGAACCCGCCCTGTTAGCTTGAAAGCCACCAACGGGTACATTGTTCCAGCAACAAAGACGTCCAGAGGGGTCCTCTTCAGCAGATTCACACTGGACTAGAGTATCCTGGGTTATCCAGGCAAAGGTTGGTTTCGATCACGAGTACGAGACAGCCAACTGTCTTTTCTTTCTGATAGGCCTTTGTCTGACTCGGGCTCGGTTCCTATGAGCTCTGACACACGTCCAGACTTTTATGATGCTTGACAGCAGGTTTCTTTATTTGAGCTGTTTCAGGTTGACTCTCACTCCTTCATCTGCGAAACTCGACAATCTGGGCACCTAACAAACATCTCATTCCGCCATATCCTGATTGTCATGTTCGCACCACTGTCCGAGCACAAGTTGCTGTGCCAACCTTGAGCAACAAGACCATCTTTCACTTCCTATCCTCATACTCATTTAGAAAACAAAACTCCTCCAACTCCTCAACCACCACCTCCTCCAACACCACCATCTCCTCGTCGTCGTCTCCTCCTTTTCCTCGTCCCCTCTTCTCCTTCCCTCTTCTCCCTTCTTCCTCTTCCCCTTTCTCATCCCCCCCGCCTCACCTTCAGCACTTTCGGTCCCCAGGATCTTGGAGCACAGACGAACTGAGGCAGGTCAACTGCATGCGACGTCCTCTCTCTCTCTCTCCTTCTCGCGTTACCTTAGCGCTCTTGACATCAATACACTCATAGAAGGAACTTCTAGAGTCCCACGAGGTCACTGGGAGGACCTGGGGAGGCAGAGGAGACAACTACCTGGGTCCTGTATACTTCGGGTCCGACGAGTGCTTCATCCTTAGGCCTGCAACCAGGCTGAGAAGGTGGGGGGAGGGGAAGCGGCGAGACAGGAGCCGTCAGGACAGAGCAACTCGTCTTCGTAGCCCGGAGGGAGGGCACAGAGAGCGAGGGAGCCGAGCAACGACAAGGTGAGGGTAACGACGAGAAAGGACGGCAGAGACTGGGCAATGCAGAGGTGAGTGTCAAGCATTGCCGCATGATGGTTAAGGAGGATTACCGTGTTATACATCGACATGGGAACAGGTGCCGTAAGACTACACAGCTTCAGTCAGCCTGTACGTGCGCCGTAACCTCCTCGCCCTGTCAACATGTGAGACTTTCTACCCTGAGGAAATGAGGAGCAGTGAGTGAGACTCAGAGAGAGCAATCAGCTGACTGTACAAAGAAATGCGCTGATTGAGAGAACAAGACTGCATCGCAACGAAATGCATCAACGAGCAACAAACTTGCAAAGAGTTGCTCTGTGGCAGCTTGTGACATCACAACTCATCATGACGATACGTCTGACAACGAGGGAATGAGAAGGGACTGATACGAGAGAGCTGAGCACTGAACAAGCTGATCAAGAGGGAGGATGAGTAGCAACAACACGAAGACGGGGAGGATAGAGAAACAGCAGCAGCAACTATGCGACGAAGAGGAGGATTGAAGCAAGAGAAAGAGTTGAATGGTCAACAAAGCGTGTCAAGATGACTACTGATGTCGTAGTACTCGCCTGCTCCTTCACTGTGCCGATCTCCCTTCCCTCTGCTCTCTCGCACAAACTTGATAGAGAAGATTCGACGGAAAATTTCGACGGCCAACTTGGAATTTGAAATTTTATTTATGGTTTGTGTGGTTCAGCCCATATAAGTGGGCATGCAGGTGTGCTCCCGTCCTTCGCTCCCCCCCAACCCCCCACCCCACCCCGCCCACCCGCTCGTTTCCTCCTGGTCCTCTCCTCGCCCTTTCTTCTCTCCTCTCCTACTTATCCTCCTCTGTATCTTCATCATGGTTCTTCTGATTGATTGTTTGCTGATATGGCAGCTTCTTCCTCTTGCCGCTCTGTTTGGGGTAGCTTCGGGATTTGTTGTAGACGGCAGCATGCGCAAGCTCGCGTTCCTTCCAGTGAAGTAAACTAGTTGCTTGCGGAGCATGTGTATTCCATTCTTCTTATTGCTTGTGACAGGACGATTGTGAGAAACATGCATGTCAGATCTGTTCGGGCTCGATGTGAGCTCTGACTGTCTCGGTTGCCTAATCCTCATCGCCTCCTCAGGTTCCAACAAGCACAGCTTGCTCATGCAAAACACCCTGGTGGTGGCGACGACAGATGCTCACGACCAGGTAGAGTGGGAGGAGACCAAACAGGGCATGACGCATGAGTGCAGGCCTCCTTCAGCATGGCGATGGCGCTGCTAAGACGAACGGACTGGACGAGGTGAGGAGCTCCATCTGGCTTGCTCAGTTGATGCTTGGGAATTGGAACAGCATGAGAGAACGAGATTGCGAGGGAGAGATGTGGCAGAGCAGGTCTGAGCCGATTATTCTGATCTTGCTGGCCTTGATTCTTTCCTTCGTGTACAGCAAACGATCAAACGTGTTCATGTGGCTGCTAGAAGATGGTTTGGTGCGCAATGGTTGTGGAAGGAGCAGTAGAAGCATCTAGCCTGTCTTACTCCTGCTTCAGATCACATCGATCGGCGCTTTCAAGAGATCACCGGTGATTGATTCTTTTTTCTTGAATCCTCCTCCCTCTTCGTTTCTGCCCTCTCCTGCTCCTGCTCTTGCTCTTGCTCCTGCTCCTGCCCTCTCCTGCTCCTGCTCCTGCTCCTGCCCCATCATCTCCTTTTGGCCTGTTGTGGATCTTCCCCTCATGTTGCCAGCAGGGGTTCAGCCAGATGACGTGCTCTTCCTTAGCCGCCATGCGTCTGCCTCTGGTTCTCCTGCTCTTACTGTATGACATCTGGCAACGTGTACTCTCTGACAGGGACGCCCTGTCAGGTCCATCCCATTGGTAACCCTGGACGAGCGGAGGCTGAAGCCGGAGGCATCCCTAACCGGTCAGTCAGAGTTACCCCCCTCACTCCCCTCCCCCTCCTCCCCTTCCTTCTTTCCCCTCTCCCTCGATTCTTTCTGCCTCCCTCTCCTCTCTCTCATTCACGGCTTGCTTGTTCCTTTCTCCTTCCATCACTTTCCTCATCCTCCTGCCATCTCGCCTGGCTCTTCGTTTCCTGTGCGAGTACTGACGGTGAACCTTGCAGGTGCCCACCTCCCTCCCCAAGACTCGCATCTCTGTACCGGTCTCGCTCAATCTTGCGAGCTCTCCGGTGCTGACCCCGTCCAAAGGTCTTTGTACAAGAAGACCGCCGCGTCAGATCTCAAGGGCCACTTTGATGTCTCGCTTGAGGTGAAGGAGGAAGGGGAGGAGGACCACCGAGTCAGTCTAACCTCATGGCAGGGTACGCATCATGGCCCCTGGCTAACCACTCCATCCTTGTTCGCCGAAATAGGCAGGATGACGATAAGCTTGCTCGCTCGCCCTCACACGTTGATGAACTCAGGGAGCACGGAGTCGGAGTGGACACGCCAGGATGCTGCAATGCATTGGGTGAGAGCAAGGGGCTGGAGAGAGATGCTTCCTGAGCAGGTAGCAGGCGGACGTGCTGGTAGAAGAGCTGAGGATAGAGGGAGGAGACGAGGAAGGAGAACAGCTATCAGCAGAAGACAAGTGAAGCACTTGAACTTGCTCATCCTTGGCGCAGAAGATCTCACTTGCTGCAGGGCAATAGTTGTTGTGGGGCTGGGAGGAGGACATTATGCACCCAGACACGGCGATGTGGCGAGGAAAGATGGCGTTTTCCTCGGCCACATCCTCCCAAGCTACACTCTTGACTTCTCCTCCTCCGAGTGAGCAGCACTGCTGTTTGCGCGTGCTTGTGCTGACCTTCTGTGCAGATGGAAGAGCACAGTGCTGGAAGCCATCGACTCCTCTGCCTCCGCGTTCGAACGAGCTGGGCGAGCTGTGGATGTCGTCTGTCACCTAGACAAGAAAGCTTTCCGGTGATGCTGCTACTGCCGCACTGCAACTTGCCGCGCTGTGCCGGGCCTAGTCTACACTTTGAATCTCTGCTCGAGTTCGCCGGAGGCCCGTACCATGCTCTCAGCGGTTGACCGTGATGTCAGGTCTGCGGATAGAGAGATGCTCAAGCACCTGCTGGTGTCTCATGGCTACCATGTTGCGATGAGTCCAGCTGAGGCAGACAAGATCGTCAGAGGAGCAAGAGAAGAGCTCTCAGTTTCCCCGTGAATCAGATGCAGTGAGGGTAGCTGCTGAGATTAGCGGCGTCGAACTCAACGGTCACGGGGCAGCCACGAGCCTTGCCCAGTGGCCAACTTGGCAAGCAACGTACGGGCGGCCCGGAGCCCGGGCCGGGCAGTTTGATCGGACGGTGATCCGAGGCTAGCACGCCGATGCAAAAGTCCCGGCGCCGCACTGCGGCACTGCGGCAGCGGGGCGAGAGCGGCCGGACAGCCTGGCTCCAAGGAACCCCCGACTCGATCCGATGATCATCGATCAGGGCCCGGGCCGGGTGGGCCCGGCAGCACCCCGCCGTCGTGGGACGGTTAAACTTTGAACACTGAGTATGGCAACTTGGAAACGCTGCACTGAGTACCGTCGAAATGAGGCTCAGCCACAGTCGGCCCAATCATTCCATGGCATTTACTAATGCCCAATTATAAATTAATATCCTTTTAACAAACACTTGTACCTGTTAATTTGATCATAAGCATACAGTTTTTAGTCAATTTTGTACCAGAATGATTTGTACCACTCAGTACTCTTTTATATTTGTTTTAAGCATTTGAGTTCCGGCTTACACGCCTCTTGGCTGCTCTCTTCCCTGTGTACCGGTATCAGTGTTTTTCTGATATGGATGGGGTAGGGTTATTCGTATATTTCGATACACGCTCATGAAATCTTATTAGTGTCAGCCATTGACGAGTGTAGTAAATCTAGCCAGTTTACTCAACAATCATTGAATGATCGTGTCTCGCATGTGTCGAGGGCAGCAGCAGAGAGGGGTTGAGGTCCGCATGGAGGGGCTTTGCGAGGGCGGCTGTGACATAAACTTCCCTCGTCAACGAGGTCACAAGGGGGATCGTCAAGTACCGTACAGTGGGGCCCGCCGCGCGCAACTGATCCGACACTGAGTGCCCGGTCACAGGATGCCGGGCAGTCTCCCGGCTGCCGGGCCCCGCAATCACTGGAACTGATCGCATAGATCGGACAACCTTGGGCAGCCTCGGAAGCCAGGCGAGTCCGCCTCGCCTTCGACAAGTTTACTCAACGCCTTTGATGGTACCGTAGTGAACTCAAAGCATTTCATTAGTACCGAGATTGAACCTGAATGGCAGTGGTAAGAAACCCCGGGCCCTAGCCTTCCTACCACCCCTCCTACCCCCCACTAGCCTCTCCTACTGCCTAGAGACTCTCACAGCATATACCACCCCCACCCTCTCCGGATCTACTCACCTGCGGTCACCCGTCTTTCTCCCTCTCAGCACCACGCGTTTGTCCAGCACGGTCACCACCCCACCCCCTTCCTCTCCCATCCCCCACTTCCCGGTCCATCCCTACAAAATCGCCTTGCACTTTCCCACCCGCTCTCATCAGACTGGAATGCTGCCGAGCAGGAAACGAAGCAGGACGGGTAGCCATCAGGACAGCCTCGCAGGCGCTCTGCCCGGGGATGAAGCGAGCGATGCCATCATCATCTCCGACGGTGAGGACGAGGAGCTCGGCATGGAAGAGCTCAAGCTAGAGATCCTTCAACTCGAGCAGAGGCTTGAAGATCAAACCAAGAAGACAAAGCAGTACCAGATCGAGTCGGTCAGGTATCATGAGCTGCTGCTCAAGTGTCGGCGCACCGCCCAGTCCGCCCTCCACAAGCAAGCCGCTCAGTCGCAACTACACGCACAGGCGCTACACGACGGCCTTGGAGAGGTACAGGACATGGCCGGCGCGATAGAAACGACCCAAAGCAAAGCCAAGGAGCAGATTGACGAGCTGCGCAAGAGCCTCGAGGCTGAGAGGCAAGCCCATGCTGCCGCCCAGCAAGCTCGCCAGCAAGCCATCGACACCACCAGGGACCTCGAGGCCTGCATACAGAAACTGCAGACGGAGCTAAGCCGTGAACGAGAGACACGCATGGAGCTGGAGGCTCAAGCTGCACAGCAGCAGCAGCAGCAGCAGCAGCAGCAGCAGCAGCAGCGCCTCACAGCGCTTCAAGCCAGCCTCGCACGCGAGCAGACAAAGCGGGCAGATGCTCAGGCTGCTCTGCAGGAAGAGAAGACGCTCAACAAACAGTTGTCGGAGATGATAGCAAGGCTCAAGGATGACCTTCATGCGAGGCAGCAGGAGCTGTCGCAGCTCCATCCCCGTACAAGGCAACAACACAGCGAGCAGCAGCAGAGGACAGCTCCCGAGACAGCCATGCGGCAGATGCACGGCATGGCGCTCCAAGACGGCATGATTGCTCAAGAGAGTCATCTGGCCGTCCCTCCAGCCCAGAGCGGAGCATCCCCAAGCTCCAGAGCTGACCTCCCAGTCGCCAGGCCGTACGCACGGCCCGCCCGTGACCCGCGGCTGGCGAAGCCCCAGGCACCTGGGCCAGAGCCTGGAAGCTGCATCTTCAGCGAGGCGTACGTGGGCCTCAAGGGCAAGCCAGGCAAGCACATGGACCCTCGCTATCACGGTTGGCTGCCGTATGATGACGCCTTCGAGATCAAAGACAGCTTGACTGTGCTCTGTGACGGGGTAGGAGAGGGAGGCTATCGGTCAGGGATCTTTGCGAGGAAGCTTGTAGAGAGCATGGCAAGGCCTGTCAACATGGACGGCGATCTCTTTGAAAAGCTTGAGTACTGCATCCAGAGGATGCGCATGCCTCAGACCTCTGGCTGTCACGACATCGCGTCTTCGACTGTGGTAGCGCTTCGGCTCACACCGGGAAGAGGCAGGGACGAGATCATGATCGATGCTCTCGAGCTGGGCGACAGCCAGTGGGCGCTGCTGACCTTGGACGCTTCTCCACGCAGGTCAGAGAGAGAGAGAGAGAGAGAGAGAGAGAGAGAGAGAGAGAGGGAGGAAGGGAGAGAGAGAGACAGACAGAGAGACAGAGAGAGACAGAGAGAGACAGAGAGAGACAGAGAGAGACAGAGAGAGACAGAGACAGGGAGACTCAGAGAGAGAGAGAGAGAGAGAGAGAGAGAGAGAGAGAGAAAGGGTGGTCTTGACAGCAAGCCGCGGGTCGCTGACATGTCTGTACAGGGTTCGCTGCGACTACCTGTCGCCCCCTCGCTTCCATTCTCCGCGGGTCAACGGCGAGAGACCTCCGTACCAGGCGGGGATGGACCAAGGGCACATGCGGCAGTACAGAGACAGGAAGAACGAGATCTTGCAGCAGAGGTGTGCGCGATCAGGCGACATCATCGTGGCAGGAAGCGACGGCTTCTGGGAGAACCTGGGCTCAGACGACCGCGCGAGAAGATCGGCGTTGGAGACCATGTCGGAGGAGGTACTCGGTGACTTCGGGGACGGGGCCCTCGTCGAGCGGCTTGGAGGAAGGCTGCGGGAGAGGACGGAGAATAGGATGGATAGGTCGATGATAGGGAAGAAGGACGATCTGACAGTGATCGTGTCTCGCATGTGTCGAGGGCAGCAGCAGAGAGGGGTTGAGGTCCGCATGGAGGGGCTTTGCGAGGGCGGCTGTGACATAAACCTCGTCAACGAGGTCACAAGGGGGATCGTCAAGTACCGTACAGTGGGGCCCGCCGCGCGCAACTGATCCGACACTGAGTGCCCGGTCACAGGATGCCGGGCAGTCTCCCGGCTGCCGGGCCCCGCAATCACTGGAACTGATCGCATAGATCGGACAACCTTGGGCAGCCTCGGAAGCCAGGCGAGTCCGCCTCGCCTTCGACAAGTTTACTCAACGCCTTTGATGGTACCGTAGTGACTCAAAGCATTTCATTAGCACCGAGATTGAACCTGAATGGCAGTGGTAAGAAACCCCGGGCCCTAGCCTTCCTACCACCCCTCCTACCCCCCACTAGCCTCTCCTACTGCCTAGAGACTCTCACAGCATATACCACCCCCACCCTCTCCGGATCTACTCACCTGCGGTCACCCGTCTTTCTCCCTCTCAGCACCACGCGTTTGTCCAGCACGGTCACCACCCCACCCCCTTCCTCTCCCATCCCCCACTTCCCGGTCCATCCCTACAAAATCGCCTTGCACTTTCCCACCCGCTCTCATCAGACTGGAATGCTGCCGAGCAGGAAACGAAGCAGGACGGGTAGCCATCAGGACAGCCTCGCAGGCGCTCTGCCCGGGGATGAAGCGAGCGATGCCATCATCATCTCCGACGGTGAGGACGAGGAGCTCGGCATGGAAGAGCTCAAGCTAGAGATCCTTCAACTCGAGCAGAGGCTTGAAGATCAAACCAAGAAGACAAAGCAGTACCAGATCGAGTCGGTCAGGTATCATGAGCTGCTGCTCAAGTGCCGGCGCACCGCCCAGTCCGCCCTCCACAAGCAAGCCGCTCAGTCGCAACTACACGCACAGGCGCTACAAGACGGCCTTGGAGAGGTACAGGACATGGCCGGCGCGATAGAAACGACCCAAAGCAAAGCCAAGGAGCAGATTGACGAGCTGCGCAAGAGCCTTGAGGCTGAGAGGCAAGCCCATGCTGCCGCCCAGCAAGCTCGCCAGCAAGCCATCGACACCACCAGGGACCTCGAGGCCTGCATACAGAAACTGCAGACGGAGCTAAGCCGTGAACGAGAGACACGCATGGAGCTGGAGGCTCAAGCTGCACAGCAGCAGCAGCAGCAGCAGCAGCAGCAGCAGCAGCAGCGCCTCACAGCGCTTCAAGCCAGCCTCGCACGCGAGCAGACAAAGCGGGCAGATGCTCAGGCTGCTCTGCAGGAAGAGAAGACGCTCAACAAACAGTTGTCGGAGATGATAGCAAGGCTCAAGGATGACCTTCATGCGAGGCAGCAGGAGCTGTCGCAGCTCCATCCCCGTACAAGGCAACAACACAGCGAGCAGCAGCAGAGGACAGCTCCCGAGACAGCCATGCGGCAGATGCACGGCATGGCGCTCCAAGACGGCATGATTGCTCAAGAGAGTCATCTGGCCGTCCCTCCAGCCCAGAGCGGAGCATCCCCAAGCTCCAGAGCTGACCTCCCAGTCGCCAGGCCGTACGCACGGCCCGCCCGTGACCCGCGGCTGGCGAAGCCCCAGGCACCTGGGCCAGAGCCTGCAAGCTGCATCTTCAGCGAGGCGTACGTGGGCCTCAAGGGCAAGCCAGGCAAGCACATGGACCCTCGCTATCACGGTTGGCTGCCGTATGATGACGCCTTCGAGATCAAAGACAGCTTGACTGTGCTCTGTGACGGGGTAGGAGAGGGAGGCTATCGGTCAGGGATCTTTGCGAGGAAGCTTGTAGAGAGCATGGCAAGGCCTGTCAACATGGACGGCGATCTCTTTGAAAAGCTTGAGTACTGCATCCAGAGGATGCGCATGCCTCAGACCTCTGGCTGTCACGAAATCGCGTCTTCGACTGTGGTAGCGCTTCGGCTCACACCGGGAAGAGGCAGGGACGAGATCATGATCGATGCTCTCGAGCTGGGCGACAGCCAGTGGGCGCTGCTGACCTTGGACGCTTCTCCACGCAGGTCAGAGAGAGAGAGAGAGAGAGAGAGAGAGAGAGAGAGAGAAAGGGTGGTCTTGACAGCAAGCCGCGGGTCGCTGACATGTCTGTACAGGGTTCGCTGCGACTACCTGTCGCCCCCTCGCTTCCATTCTCCGCGGGTCAACGGCGAGAGACCTCCGTACCAGGCGGGGATGGACCAAGGGCACATGCGGCAGTACAGAGACAGGAAGAACGAGATCTTGCAGCAGAGGTGTGCGCGATCAGGCGACATCATCGTGGCAGGAAGCGACGGCTTCTGGGAGAACCTGGGCTCAGACGACCGCGCGAGAAGATCGGCGTTGGAGACCATGTCGGAGGAGGTACTCGGTGACTTCGGGGACGGGGCCCTCGTCGAGCGGCTTGGAGGAAGGCTGCGGGAGAGGACGGAGAATAGGATGGATAGGTCGATGATAGGGAAGAAGGACGATCTGACAGTGATCGTGTCTCGCATGTGTCGAGGGCAGCAGCAGAGAGGGGTTGAGGTCCGCATGGAGGGGCTTTGCGAGGGCGGCTGTGACATAAACCTCGTCAACGAGGTCACAAGGGGGATCGTCAAGTACCGTGCAGTGGGGCCCGCCGCGCGCAACTGATCCGACACTGAGTGCCCGGTCACAGGATGCCGGGCAGTCTCCCGGCTGCCGGGCCCCGCAATCACTGGAACTGATCGCATAGATCGGACAACCTTGGGCAGCCTCGGAAGCCAGGCGAGTCCGCCTCGCCTTCGACAAGTTTACTCAACGCCTTTGATGGTACCGTAGTGACTCAAAGCATTTCATTAGTACCGAGATTGAACCTGAATCAGTGGTAAGAAACCCCGGGCCCTAGCCTTCCTACCACCCCTCCTACCCCCCACTAGCCTCTCCTACTGCCTAGAGACTCTCACAGCATATACCACCCCCACCCTCTCCGGATCTACTCACCTGCGGTCACCCGTCTTTCTCCCTCTCAGCACCACGCGTTTGTCCAGCACGGTCACCACCCCACCCCCTTCCTCTCCCATCCCCCACTTCCCGGTCCATCCCTACAAAATCGCCTTGCACTTTCCCACCCGCTCTCATCAGACTGGAATGCTGCCAAGCAGGAAACGAAGCAGGACGGGTAGCCATCAGGACAGCCTCGCAGGCGCCTCTGCCCGGGGATGAAGCGAGCGATGCCATCATCATCTCCGACGGTGAGGACGAGGAGCTCGGCATGG